CGTACCGCACTGCACTGCTCCCCTCCTCTCTTTCTCCCTCTACCCTCTCTCCCCACCTCTGCTGCACATCAACGCCTGCCGTTGGACGTCAATGCCTGCGTCCTGTGAATTGCCCTAATTGCCCACTCCAATTCCCTCCTTGCATAGTCGTCCACTGCCCGGGCTTGGGGCTTCCTATTCACTCATAGCCAACCATGGCCGCCAACGCCAACGACACCACCAAGTCAGGCGAGACTCCCGCGACCGCCACCGCTCCAGTCGACACGGCCCCTGGCAATGAGCAGACCGATGGCGCAGACCAAGACGACGGGGCCAATGGCCAGCAGCCAGACAGTAGGTCCCATGAGCACACGAGACATGTATAGGAAGAGAAAAAAAATCGCTAACATCGTCAAGACATTTTCCAGGTCACCATCAAGCTTCCTCATGAGCCCTTTGAGATGCCCATGACCATCTCGACGGCAGAGCAGGTGCAGGATCTCCGCCAGTCCATCATCGAGATGCCGCATACCTTCCAGTACTCGTGCTTTCACCTCGAACACAACGGCGAGCGCATCAACGACTACGTCGAGCTGTCCGAAGTCAAGGACCTCAAGCCCGACTCAGTCTTGACTCTGGTCGAGGATCCCTACACGGAGAAGGAGGCCAGGCTCCATGTCGTCCGCGTGCGTGAGCTCATTGGCGCTGCTGGCGACCGCACCGATGCGCTGCACGGCCTCATGGCTGGTCTCTCACTCCACGACACAGTGGGTCACGAGCACATCTTGAAGCCTAAGCAAGATGGCCCCGAGCAGTCGCCATTGGCCGACTACGACTTCAAGACATCCGGTGCCGTCAAGAACCTGCTTCCCCCGGCTCCAGAAGCCGCGCCCAAGACGATCAAGTCGATTGCCGTCTCGCCCTGGAACCCACCCCCGTACCACCTTAGGTCCAAGGGTCACTTGCTGTACCTCGTAGTCACCACCAACGAGAACGAGCAGCACCACATTACCAGTCACGTTTCGGGTTTCTATGTCAACAAGTCGTCCAACGCCAGTTTTGATCCCTTCCCGCGACAAGCACCAAAGGATAAGCGCGCCCACTCGCTCCTTACCCTGCTTGAAGAGCTGTCTCCCTCTTTCCGCACTGCATTCCCCGAGCTGCTCGAGCACAATGCGAAGAAGGAGTTGCTCACCATCTTCCAGCTCTCCAACGCCATTCCCGCGAACCCATGGCTAGTCCCGGCGCCCAACTCGGCCCTCACCCCGCATCAGCCAGATCTCGCCCGCACACAGGAGAGCTACCTGATTTCCGGCGTTGAGAACACTGAGACGCTCCGTGATTGGAATGAGGAGTTCCAGTCCACCCGCGAGATGCCCAAGGAGGCCGTCCACGATCGAGTCTTCCGCGAGCGCCTTACGTCTAAGCTGTTTGCTGACTACAACGATGCTGCTACGCGCGGTGCCATGTTGGTAGCTCGTGGAGAGATTGCGCCCTTGAACCCAACAGAGGCCAAGGACGCACAAATCTTTGTCTACAACAACATCTTTTATTCGTTTGGCGCCGACGGTGTCGGCACATTCGGCGCGGAAGGTGGAGACGAGGCGGCTCGTGTCGCCGTAGGCAAGGATGTGTTTGGTGTGCGTGCAGTGAACAACCTTGACATTCCTAACCTTTTCACCTCTGGAACCGTCGTTGTTGACTACCAAGGAAAGCGCATTGTGGGCCAGAGTATAGTCCCTGGTATCTTCAAGCAGCGCGATCCTGGTGAGCACCAGATTGACTACGGTGCGGTTGAGGGCAAGGAAATCGTGGCCGACGACAAGTCCTTCGTTCCTCTTTTCGAGCAGCTATCCAAGGCTCTGCGTGTCAAGAGGCATCCGGTTTGGGACAAGGACAATGTTCGCCACGAACTGGAAGGCAGTGTCGAGACCAAGGGTTTGATTGGTACTGATGGTAGGCGATATGCCTTGGATCTCTACCGCCTCACCCCGCTCGATATTTCATGGATAGAAGCACACTGGACTGAGCCTGGAGAGGAGGGTGAGTCAAAGCCGAAAGACAAGGACTACCCCCACCGAATGGCCACTCTGCGCCCAGAGCTGGTCGAGTCTTATGGTCGAGTCAAACTCCGTGAATACGTCAAGAATGAGCTTGCCAAGAAAGCCGAGGCCAAGAAAGAGGCCAAGGATGAGGAGAGCTCGTCGGAAGAAGAGTCTTCGGAAGAAGAGGACTCTGAGGAATCGGATGATTCCGATGATTCCGAAGAAGAAGATGGTGCCGAAAAGAAGCCCAAGGAGAAGAAGTTGACCAAGGAACAGAAGAAGGCTGCAAAGAAGGCTGCTGCTGAGAAGAAGCCTGACGAGGACCCAGAACAGGAGCGCGTCGACATCTCTGGCTTCTCCTTTGCCCTCAACCCCGATGTTTTCTCTGGTCAAAACCCCCAATCGGAAGAGGACAAGAAGGAGTGGGCTCAGGATGAGGCTGAAGTCCGCGCTGCTTGTGAGCACCTCACATCCGAGGTCATTCCTCGCATGATCCAGGAACTCAAGGAAGGCGAAGTTGGTTTCCCAATGGATGGCCAGTCATTGAGCAACCTCTTGCACAAGCGGGGTGTAAACATCCGCTACCTTGGCAAGCTCGCAGAGTTGGCTGACAAGCCTGATCCAAGGCTCCAGGCTCTCAAGCGTCTGCTTATCCAGGAAATGATCGCACGTGGTTTCAAGCACTTTGCCAACTCCAAGTTGCGCAATGTGCCTGCGCCTTTTGCTGCCCCAGCGGCCGCACACCTGCTCAACTGCCTTCTAGGAGCCGAAGTGAGCGCCAAGCCTGTGCCTGAGAGCGATGCTAGCCTCAAGTCCATGTACAGCGAGGCTGACTTCAGCTTTGAGCAGCTCACACCAGAGGCGCTCAAGAAGGAAGTCGTGGCTCAGGTAGCTCTGCGATTCCGTTATGACCTGGGTGAGTCGTGGGTCGAGTCTGGCAAGGAGCTGCAGATGCTTCGTGAAGTTTCACTGAAGTTGGGACTCCAGTTGGAGAGCAAGCAGTACGCCTTCACCAAGGAAGCCTTTGCTGCTAGCGCCCCAGCTGAGAAGCCAGTTGCGCCCCCGACCAACGGCCAAGCAACGACTTCCAGCAAGAAGAAGAAGAACAAGAACACACCACCAGCACGTGCGGCTAGCCCAACAGTGGCTCTCCCGCAGCAGACATTCCACGCTGATGACATTCTGAACATTGTTCCCATCATCAAGGAGGCTTCGCCAAAGAGCCTGCTGGCTGAAGAGGCGCTCGAGGCTGGTCGTATGTCTGTTGCTCAGGACCAGAAGGAGCTCGGACAGGAGTTGCTTCTCGAGTCGCTGCAGCTACATGAGCAGATTTACGGTGTACTTCACCCCGAGGTAGCCAAGGCCTACCACACATTGTCAAACCTCCTCTTCAACCTAGAAGACAAGGTTTCGGCTCTTGAACTCGCACACAAAGCCGTCATTGTGTCTGAGCGCACCCTGGGTGTTGACCATGCCGACACTCTGCTCGCCTATCTCAACTTGGGTCTCTTTGAGCATGCCTCGGGTAACACCAAGGCTGCTCTTGTCTACCTGCGCCATGCACTTGAGCTGTGGAAGATCATCTATGGACCTGACCACCCTGACTCCATCACTACACTCAACAACGCCGCTGTCATGCTGCAGTCGATGAAGCAATACCACGAGTCTCGCATCTGGTTTGAGGCATCCCTCGCCATCTGCGAAGAGGTGTCTGGAAAGAACTCGATCAACACGGCTACTCTGCTCTTCCAGACTGCTCAGGCTCTTGCCCTCGACAAGGACATGCGTGGCGGTGTCAACCGCATGCGTGAGTCGTATAACATCTTCAAGGAGGTTCTCGGCCCTGATGACCGCAACACCAAGGAGGCTGAGAGCTGGCTCGAGCAGCTCACTCAGAGCGCTGTTTCCCAGGCTAAGCAGCTCAACGATATCGCCAAGGGACGTATCCGGGCGATGCCACTCCCTGGCCGCAACCCTCTCCGTCCCGCTGCTGCTGCACCTTCTGCAAGTGATGCTGCAGCTGCTTCAGCCAGCCAGCGCAGCGGAAACAGCCGTGTTGATCAGCGCAAGATTGAGGACCTTCTGAAGTACATTGAGGGAGATACACAAAAGACGCCATCGAAGAAGAAGACTCAGGCGAACCCTAGGAAGAGGACGAAGTAGAGCTGATCAGTCATTTCTCTTCTGGAATCCTTGCGACCAAAAGTTAGGCGCTAAAAGTACCCATCTGTCGCATTGTGGCACCGTATCCATGAACTGTGGCCACGGATTTGCGACATTCACGTGATGGTGCTCCAGTGGCTTTTGTGCCCTCTGGGCTCTATTCGTGTCCAGTTTTTGGGAACCGGTTTTGCATTCATGGAGTTATCGGTTTCGCGCGGCCATGTTGTGAAGTGGGACGACAGGTCTTTTCCGCGGAGGGGGTCTTGTACATTGGGATGTAACTGGGTTGTAAAGGTAAGCAAAAGTCGGCTACGTGTATATATACGGGCCAGGCATGTAAACAGTGATGATGTATCAACGATGAATGATGAGCTGTATCAAATAGCAATGCAAAATATCTCCTCTTTACTGTTGATTCTTGTCATGATGTGTTATTAGAGGTGAATAAAGATGAATATCTCTAGTAGGGGTTTTTTTTCCTAATAGACTTGCCTAGTTGTTAAACTGGTATTTGTGAACTGCGCGTAGAAACTTCCTTCCCTACGCCCCCGGCTTCGGCATCCACACTAACCGCCCCCTCGGACTCCAATATCCCGAACCAAGTTCCCTACGACCCCTCCAATAGCTCCTGCATGCATCGCAAGAAAGTTCACAGACCTAATTACTACCCCACAAAAACATATCATCCCTCCCTCTTCCGCATCTTCAAATACAATACACATCCTCCCCTATTATCCGACAAACCCCGCTATTCACACACACTCTTTCTCTCCCTCGATTAAACAAAGGACACGACGATATAGAGAGAAAACAATGTCAGCACCCCAGGGCCCCCGCCGCATCGCCCAATGGCTCTACCTCAAACCCGAGTCCATCGACGAATACAAAAAGTGTCATGCGGCTGTTTGGCCCGAAGTCTTGGAACAGATTAAGGATTCGAATATACGGGATTGTATGTATTCCTCTCTGTCTATCCGTCTTCATTTCCTTCCGTTGTTTATTTCCTTGTGCGTCGATGTTACGTCTACCTCGTGTGTTCGCATTGCCGATACTGCTCTCTTCATTCGCGTGGTTCGCTTCGCTTCGCTTACTGCTCACTGCTCACTACGTTCGCGATAGATTCCATCTTCCTGACCATGTCACCGCGGCCCACACTCTTCGCATCGTTCAAATACATTGGCCATGCATTTGACGAGGACATGGCGCGTATGGCGGCGAACCCCAAGGTACAGGAGTGGTGGCGCATGACGGATAGGATGCAAGAGTCGCCTGTGGAGGGGGCGCAGGGGAGCGCAAAGGGGCCCGGGTGGTGGGGACAGATGGAAGAGGTGTTTTATGTGGAGTGAGATGGAAGAGAGAGGAAGGGAGTGAAAATAGAACAAATAATTGGTATCAACAAAACTATGAATAACGATGCGACGCCGACACGACCGTGTGTCCCTATATGAAAACACGTGACAAATACAGTTATATGGAGACATGATGGCAACACCTCCCAGGATTGTTCTTCCCTACCTAATTTTCCTTCTCCGTTCCCCCCAAATGCTCTACAAAGGCTCGTAATCCGCGCTAGTGTCGCCAACCCAACCAAACCACAGGGCAATAAGAGTATTGGCCGCGACCCACACACCCGCATATCCAACAGCGCCAATGATGTCGGTTCCCACGAGCGTCATACTCCGTTGGACGGTGGCGATGAACAAAAAGGAGTTGAGAATGAGCGTTTGCTGAATCAGAGTGCGGGTCCTTTGAGTATAGTTGTAGAAGTTGTACTCAAGAGTCTGAGAGAGCGTGGCAGTAGCCGGGTCAAAAGTATCGCCAGGCGTCTGGTTCTCGGAAAGCGGCTGAGCAGCAAATGATGGGTTGAGAAGAAAAGCCTTGGCGGCGAACCCAGCAATAAACGTCTTAACCACAAGAGACAAGGGAGTCTCGATATGGGCGACTTCGAGCGTGGGAATGTCAAAGTATTGGACGAGGAAAGTGTTCAAGACGCCAGTCTTCAGGCCGCCCCACAGAAGCACAACGTAGACGCCGGTTGCGAGCATGAAGCTTGAGAGCTGGACTTGGTAGCTGTCGAGCAAGAAGCGGTTGCGCAGAGGCGCGTTGTTCTTGTGGGCGAGGGAGCGTGGGCGCAAAAGGTACGTGGGGAGCGCAAAAGAAATGACCTCGATGCAGATGTTGGTGGCCGCGGTCAAAGGCGTGATATTGTAAAAAGTGGTGAGCAAATAGGCAAAAGGCGCGTGCATCAGGACAACGAGGGCCGAGACATCGTAGACTGCGCATACAGCATTAGCAGTGATTTCGCGCAAGTATTCTTCTCTTTGGACGCGCTCTTACAGTCGTAGCTCAAGTACCACGTCATGCACACGGTCAACCAGCGCATGGCGAGACGCGCATGAGGCGAGTAAAACGACGTGACATCGTCCTCTTGCGGCACCTTGCTGATGGCCCCGAGCTCCGGGCTCAGGAAATTCGAGGCAAACTCCCACAGCAGCATGTTGATGCCCGAGTTCAGGCAGATAAGAATGGGCACGCGCAGCGCGGTAGGGAGACGCGATCGCACCGGCGCGTGCGACCTAGTCACTACTTCTGGCGCCTCGCGCTCAATGACTTTGGTTGGTGCCATTGTGCGCCTTTTTTGTTGTAGCGATGAAGTTTGGCGGCAATGGGCGAGGGAGAACAAAAGGACTGGGTGAAGTGGGGTGGGAGGGGAGAGGGAATGAGCGACGGGGGGCTGATGATAGAAGAAGTTCAAGTCTTTGTGATGGGGAGACGAGTTTGTTTGGACGTGCGTCATGGCGCAAAATAGAGTACATAATAAGCCGCCGGCAACCGTGCACTGGTTCGCCCCACGTCCTGCGCTATTGTATTGTCGCTTTGTATGTAGTATGTGTGTATGTATGGATGAATGAATATGTGTACATATGAAGCAATATGTATTCTGCCCGTTGCAACTTCATTGGTATGGCTGTTGTAATGGACTCGCGTACTCCCATAGCTTTGGACCCGGAGTATCGTATCCAGTCAACTTCTTATGGACATCGACCAGTATACCCGCATCTGTTGGCCTGTACAGATTGGTCCCCAGTACACCCCCTTTCAAATGCTTTGCCTTTGAACCTGCCGCTCTGTCTACTCGCAAGTTTATACACTGCGGGTACGCCTGTGCACCATCCAGCTGCTCTGCCACGTGCAGTGCAAGGAGCTCGTGCCTCAGGGTGTAGTAGCCTGCTGCCAGCACCTCTGGTATCTTGATTTCCCAGGTGAAGTTGTTGGCAATGAGTACGTCCGTCGCCCATGTGCCACCCAATTCCAAAGTGTCCCACCCAGTACTGTTGAGCCATGCCAGCTCGTCAATCTTGACCCAGGACAAGGTGTCCTTGTTTGCTTTTGAACAAGTCGTGTTGCACTTGGCAATGTATGTCATGACTGCGCCGACGTGGGAGACTGGCCATTCATTCCATTTCAACTGCAATGTGTCGCCGGCAGTTGTATTGACATGAAGTGCACCAGGTATGGCGTTATCATGACAGGTAATATTTGACGTATTGAAGTGTGAGGGGGCCACGAAGATGTTGCCCATGTTCGCGGCTGACCATGCAGCCAATGGACGAGGCGGTGTCAATGTTTCAGAAGAAACGGGATCCCATCCATTGTAAACCAGACCAGCTGATGTTGTAATTTTCTCGATGCGTGCGTGAGCCGATACGCCGACTAGGAGAAGTGACGAGGTCACGGTTGTCAAAAGCCGCATCGTGGCGGAACAAGTATGGGAAGAGAAGGGACAAATACCGAGTGCATAAGTACAAGCCGGAGCGCTGGGGAATATATATTGGTGCAAGTCTTTGTGGGGATCGTATAGCAATATCGTCATTATAGTTGCAATCGTTGCAGATTTAGCCATGCCACAATTCATCTCGGCTGCCAAGTATGATTGGCTACAGTGGGCGAGTGTCAGACAACGTGCCAGGGAACACGAAACAGGCCAAGGGCAGCAAACAGATTGTTCTGACCAGCGCAATGTTTCGAATGAGAGGAGAATAGGCTGGCACGGACGCTAACAGAGCGGGACACGGGGCGGATTGAGTGGTTTGAACGCCGATCATTTTCAGTCCAACGCCATGCTGATGCCGATGTCGACAGTGCTGTCGTAATATAATAGTACAGATAGTGGGTACATTCACAGTCGTCGGGTCCTTCTATTTGACCTCCTTTTCCAACAACTCTTTTGCTTCGTTGACCTTGGTAGCCAGGTAAGGGCTGCCGCCTCGATCGGGGTGGTTTAGGAGCATCAGTGAACGGTGCTTCTTCCGCAGGAGTTCTTTTGTGATACCTCGTTCGCTGTTGTTTGTTAGCATGCGAAAGCACACATGCAGACCGACTTACGGCAGCTCTAATATCAGCGCTGCTTCTCTCCGTGTCATCTTGGGTTCAAAGCCGCCCTTGTAGTATGAGCGCCCCAGAGCACCAGCGCCCCCACCTGATCTCCGTAGAGCAACGAGAGCTGCGCGGCCCTATTCATTTGGGTCAGTATTGCCTTTATGCGAGGCCTGCACATGATACGGGAGGACGTACGAAGAAGGCAGTGGCACCTGCGCCTAATATCCACACCCAGGCCGACATGCTGGTCCTGTGCGGGGAGAGATGAGAATACGCGGTAGTTGGTTGGTGCAGCGGGTGGGGCGGGTGCTACGGGATCCAGGCGCAGACAATGTACAGAGTGGTGTTTGAGAGTACAATGTAGGCGGAGACTGGACGACGAGGACGAGCGAGGACGCGGCAGAGACGGGGCGATCGAGTTGATGTCGATAATGTCGAGGGAAAAGGCGGGCGAGGAATCTGCGGAGGTGCCTCGGGCGACGAGCGATGCAATTGGCCCTGGGGTGCACGCGCCACCCAAAATTTCTGGCCAGGCCGGCATACTGCCCTTTGCTGCACCACCACCACTACCTCCACCTCCTCCAATCACTCCCCCGCTGTCACCATGAGAATTGAGACGTGTATGTATACATTCTACATTGGCGCTTATCAACAACGATACTAACATGTCCAGGCTACTTCTGCTCAAGCCCCGTCTACCCGTCCAAGGGCATCACCTTTGGTATGCATACCCTCTGCAATTGCGCCACCACGACCCTCTTCTGACCGCGCACAGTGCGAAATGACGCCAAGAGCTTCCGCTTCTGCAAGAGCAAATGCCACAAGAACTTTAAGATGAAGCGCAACGTAAGCACGCCTCATGCCATGCGCTTATCCCACACATGCTGACTTGGCTTTTTTTTACAGCCGCGCAAGCTGGCCTGGACAAAGAGCTTCCGTCGCGCGCACGGCAAGGAAATGACTGTCGATTCTACCCTCACTTTTGCTCAGCGCCGTAACGTACCTGTGCGCTACAACCGCGACCTTGTCCAGACGACACTCAAGGCTATGGGCCGTGTATCCGAAATCCGTGCTAGAAGAGAGCGCGCCTTCTACAAGGCCCGTATGCGTGGTAACAAGCAGCGCCAGCGCGAGGAAGACCGAAAGCTGGTCCTGGAAAACCAGCACCTGCTGCCACCCAGCGAGCGATTCTCCAAGGAGGAGCTCGAGCAAATGCAAGGCGAGCCTGATGTCCAGACAATCAAGGACAAGGTTGCTGCCAGGAGGAAGGAGCTTGAGGCGGAAGAGAGCGAGCTTAGCGATGTCGAGGAAGAGATGTTGCCCAAGACTAAGAGCAAGAGGAAGATGAAGATGAAGGTCGGCGGCCGCGGTGTTGAGGCCATGGATGTTGACGAGTAGAGCGACTCTCGGGACCCGGTACCTCATCGACATCAACCGACAGCGACAGCCTAATGACTGGCTTGGCCTTGCAAGTAAAAAAACCGTTTCTGGAGTCTGGCGTCACATTACAAGGGTAGTTTTCATGACCAACATAGCTCGATACCATATCAAGAAGCTTGTCTCATTTCTCGCATCAATTTGCTCAACTTTGCTACTGCGTTTGATCCGACAACTTAGCAGGCGTCCTTGATTCTGCGTCACTCACGACCACGTGTAGCAAGGTACGTAGTACTGCTGGCAGTACTCTCATTGTTGACTTCTAAGATATTTCTTGTTTTTCGGACAACCGAGTCCATGGACAAAATTGGACTATTGCGACTAATTGATAGCCTGGGAACCATAATAGTAACGAAGCCTTGTAGGCCATGGCATATCATGCACTCAATCACAATGACTCTCCTGTTGACTACATCTGGAAGGGAAGCGCTACATTGACACTTTGGTTTCTATGTACAAAAACATTCATGGGACAGCTTTCAAGTATATACAGATATCTCTGACCGAAACCTAGAAGTTCTCCTTGCATTGGTCGGGCCAGCCTGATGGATGTCTTCCTGAAGTAGTGCCGCAATAGTAGAAGGTACCGCTGGGTGAAGCGGCATAGTAAACACTGCCAGCATTGTTGGGCAAACCAGTCTGCAGATTTCTACGTTAGCATGGCGAGTTCCATCAGATGCTAGCCATTGCGCTTCAAAGTGAAACTTACAATCCAGAGAGGGTAGGTTTTGAGCCCACTGCAATACTTCGTAGCAAGGTTGGCTGCACTGGTCTCACGCGGTGGTTGAGACCTGTCGCCTGCCTTAACCGCATCGATAAGATCTTTCTGATCGATGTGAACACCGCCCCTTACTGGGCAGTCAAGGCTTTTGGGGAACTGGCAGGCCGGATCGCACGACTTTTGCTCGGGCGAAGAGTTGGGGACTGGGGCCGAAGAGACGGGGGTGGCGTCCATAGCGACAGCGGCCGCAGAGACGGTGGTGGCACCGAGGGCGAGAGCGATGAAGGAGCTGGCGTGCATGTTGAGGATTGGTGTTGGTTCGGGTTGGTTCGGGGGGTGTTTGAATCTGGTAGTTCTCGGGGTGGAGAGTGAATTCTGGAGAGGGATTCTCCATTTCTTATATGGTGAGTGAGCTGCTATCCATCATCAAAGACCCGACGAGCCACCCCGACGAGCCGCCGAGACGAGGGCATTAGACACACTCTGCTGGGCATACTACATACGTACTTGCTAAGTGCTATTCGCAAACCCGAGTCGTGCTGCCGCTGAGATGTTCTGAACAGGCCCTACGAAACAACGCACGGTTCCTCCATCTTGCATGATGGGGAAGCGCTAGCCACAACGGTTCCCGATTTCAGTTAGTTGTTTCTACTGATTTGTCCTGATCCTTCACCCCTGTAATTGTCCTTAATATCAAACGGCCCGAGAAACATGTCTACGCTAGCGCCAGCCACGGCATGATGTGTTACTCCGTACCGTACTGACATTCGATCATTCGTGTAAGTATTACAGCCAAGTCTCTTGTGCTTCACACCTACCTTCCCCTTCAAATCCTTTCTCTCTCTTTGCACCAAAAAATGAAAAAGTCGCATTGAATAGCTTCTTATTGCCCCTACCCTTTCTCCCTGTCTCTTTCATGCTCAACCCCAGCTTCCTATACATAGCACTTTACCATACACACCCTCTCACCTCCCCGGCGCAAACAAACAACCCAAACCGTACGTGTGCCACCCCTCGCTTGACACAGCTTTCCCGTATTCCCACTCCCAATTATGCCTATAAGGTAACTGCAGCACACCATGTACTCACTAAAAAAAACCGACGTTCTGGAATTTGAAGAAATAAACGCCTTTCGGTCCTATTACCAATTCGCACCGTCTGGGGGAGCCAGGGGGGAGAGGGAGGCGAAGTCGCAGGCTAAAAGACAGTTAAACGTGTAAGCTTATTCGGTACGGTTGGAAATACGCGTTATACCAGTAAGCAGGGCAAGTATTGAGATCAATGGATAAGCGAAAGGCGTAGGCGTAGAAGATGACGGCACGGTCCTTTGTGCGTTGGGAAATGTACGCGGGTATGTTTTTCTTCTTTTTTTACCCCGCTTTGTTGCGGCCTTATACGATTGTAGGATGTCGCGGACGTTGTGAGGGTGGACGGTGAGAGAAAAAAAAAGGTCTAGTACTACAAACATGGGGGGTGAAAGTGTGTACGCTAGCGATCCACCCCCCTTCTGTTGCTAATTATATGCGGTGACGTTGTTTATGGATGTTTGCGGAGATGGGAGAGACTAGGATAGGGAGTCCAAGAGGATAGGCAGATGATAGAAAGTCCGAGGAATCGTGTACTGATTGAGTTACTATGTTACGGCTCTGCTGCATTGTCGATAGAGAGTACTGCGCAGCTTGATCAATGCAACATGCAGAACCCCCCGATATGATAAAGCGTGTTGATGCACGCTGCTTGTCAGCCTGCCATGGCATTGTTTCGCAAAGCTTGGAGCATAGAGACGCGGTGTAACTATGCGAGCTGCGGTAATGAGGTTTGAGAGGCTTCATTCCACTCGATAGGTCAATTACTGTGTAATAATAGAAGATACTGTGATTTTTTTCTGGCGATACAGAATTATTAGTGGAGATTTCGGGTAAAATTCATGCGGGTATCCGGGGTAGAGATTGGATCGTGTGGGGGTGAGTGAGATGAGTGAGTACGGGTGTCGGATGCGCTGGCTACCCGTAATAGTGAGATTGTTATTTAAACTCTCGGATGTGATTGGAGATTAAGGAATGGGAGAATGAGTCGGACGCTCTCGTTTACGCACTCTTGATAGGTTGGGGACATTTTTTCGCCCATGGTCAGGGCCTGTTCGATTGCTCCGTTTTCTGTCTTCGTTTGGCTGCCATTCGGGGTCATAGAAGACAGAAAGGGCTAGTCACGTGGTTAATCGGAAACCTTAATTCTTATTAGAGATCCTAAGATCTACGTCACAGGGAAATGGGGCTCTGCTTAACTCGAAGAGGGACACTCGTACATTAAAACTGCGCTAGATGTGTAGGGCTTTTTCCATATACCAGTGTTGCATTCACAAAATCGAGCTCCAGCTACTGGCATCCAGACCGTTTCACCGAACACGACGCCATTTCCATCTCCGTTTTCTGACGAAATCCCCGTCCGATATGTCAGAAAGAAACGAGATGGAACTGAACAGGCACCAACCTGACTCTATAATTATGTACTGTTAGTTCTATCGCCTTAATGGGCGGTAGTACAAGATCGTATCGCGAAACTTGCAGGTCGAGAACGTGATGTCAACGTCGTCGTCAGAGAAAGTCGGGAATTGGTTGCGGTAAGCGTTTTCAGGGCAGAATGAGAAAAAGATGCGATTAGAGGGTACTCTAGTGCACATATCACGCTGGCAGCCACAGAATAAGCATCGGCGCGCGGAATTGCCGTGACTGCTTCCGTCGCCACCCACACGGGCATCCAACTCGGCAATTCCTAGAGCTTATGTACTAGGGCATCTACAGTAAGCATGGTATCTATCATAAGCGGAATGGCACTTCGAAGCATTCCATACCCCATGCGTCATCTCAGCCACAATCTTACAAAAACGCACCACTCGAACTTTGCCCCTTGTATCTTGCTATTACAGCCATGCAAGTGCGCATTACAGCGCATTCGCTTTGCGTATAATCTAGCTCTGAGGCCCAATAGTATCCCTCTGAGAGTTTGTAGCTCGAGGCACTGTGAAAACTGCGCTGACGGATGGGGAAAACGTGATACTCGTGGACACTGGTGGAGGTGGAGATGAATGAAGATTAACGGGATGACATATGCTAGTAATGCATTCGTTCTCCAAAGAAACTTACCGCTTACTAGAGATATTTAAATTCAGTCGACTAAGATGGGAAATGAGAATTTTTGTAATAGCTCGATACGACCGGATCGTACCTTAAAGCATGAGTAGGTTTAGTCCTCTCAATATATATTCTCTAATATAATATTCCAGGTAGTATGTTCGAAATATAAGTATACCTAGAAAGCTATTCAACAATAAAAGCTCTCAGGGCCCCTGAGTAAGTAGTCTCAGTTGTTTGCTACTGTTCTCCCAAACAACAGGATCGTCCACAGTCGTCCACTTCAATAGGAGCTCCTGAACAGCTTGGAGAGACTTATCTTCCTCAGCATCCATGAAGAAATCCTTGCGGCCCTCAATCCCTTTCTTGCGCCTCTCCAAATACGCATCAAGGTCGTAATTGCTGTCAACGGAGGCTGTGCCCCATGTTACGGCGAGGGAAGCCTGATAAGTGTCGCTTGACATGTCCCGAAATTTCTGCATTGATGCGTTTGCGGTCTCTGGCACTTGGGCGGGTGTTGGTTGATCGTGACCCTGTCCGGGCCTTATGAGTTGCACTGCTGTGGATGGGGCTTCCGGTTCCTGAGTGGGCACCAAGGGGTCGGGAACAATGTTCGGCTGGGTGCCAGCTTCAGCGTGGAACTGTAAGTCGTGTTTGTTAAGCCAATCCCTGACCAAATCTTTTGTGAGTTCGCGATGCCGATCCTCATCTAACTGTTCAATAGAAGGAATCCAAAGATCGCGATTTGCTGGATCTATGAGTGTTGGTCGATTTTCTGAAACCGGCACATCTTCTGGTAGCACCGTCGGTGGAAAGAAGGATGTTCCACTATCAGGCTCTGGCTTTTGCCCTTTACCCAATGCATGTCCGGTTTTTCCCCACTCCGGGACCAGGATCGGATCGCCATCCATAATGTGATCTTGATTAGATGGCTCATTGCCTGGGCTTTCGAATCCATCGAACGGGGACAAAGCTCGACTGTAATCCAATGTGAAGTCGTCACAATCGAATTTTTGATCATCTTCATTTAGTCCCATGATTGAGTCCAGTTGATCCAAGTCCCAGGTCCCGGACTGTGGGCAATCTCGAGCAAGTTCAGGCTCGGATTCGGCGTTCTGCGCAATAATATCTTCTGGGTGGTTTTCTTCGTCGAGAGCTCTAGGAGTATGGCTGTCCCACTGAACTTTCCGCTTTCCAGAGACATTGGTAGGATGTGCATCGCCAAGGGACTGAGATCTTCTCTTCTTGCCTCGCAGGGGTTCCTACTCGCTTTAGTTTTGCCTTGGATTCAATGGCGTGTAACTTTCACTTACATCTATGTCTTGGGGTTGTTGATCGGTAGAGAGCAGGGGGTGATTTTCTTCACGGCCCATAGTTACATATTGTTCGGAAGCTTGACTTCTTGGAGCTTCTACGATCTTCTGTCTCGGTACACCAGAGTTTTCGAGAAGATCCTGGGTGTGTTCGTAAAGAACATCGACAAACATATCCGGTAGCCACCTTAGAATAACGACCTCTTTTGAGTGGTCCTGCAACGAATCAAACACAGAAGCTAGTATACAGTCGCAATTAAACTTACTGTGCTTGTAAGATCAGCAAGACCCATAGATCGGAGATGCGCAAGTTGTTCGGAGTCGCAGGACACCACTGGATAGATGGGGATTCGTTCAGGTACTGGACCAGCTCCGTTAGCCTTGAGAGTAGATATTGCCGCATCGACAAGTTCTTCTCTCATTCCAAATTTTGTTAACCCATTCTTTATTCTATCCATCAGAAAGTCGTGCCTCATTTCCGAATCAATTGATCCTCTCGCCTTGCCCAGAGCAATGTTTTCTTCAAGTCGAGAATACTCCCATTTGGCCAACTCCAGTTTCTGGGCAGCCAACTCCAACCGATCAATTTGAGACCAGTACGGACAGACACTATTTGAAACGATGAATTGAGATGAAGGCGCGAGTTTTGTAGCTTCTGCGGTCCTCGGGGCTTGACCGTGACTTGTGGCGGTAGGTGCAGGTTCATTATCAGCTGCTGATAAAGAAAGTGTGGGTACTTTAGACTGTCTCGAGCATGCCGATACTCCGCTGCTAGATAGTGCTGTCTCGTTCACCATCTCTCCACTACTCTCTGCTTGATGGTGAAACTCTTGCTTGGCCGCTTCGTTGGCAAGTACCAGACTCTTGAGGGCCAACAACTCGTCGACGTCTACAGTATCCTTTCTGTTTTCGTAAGCATAGCGTTCCAAAACCAAAGCATCTAGACCTACGATAGATGCGACGTCACTTTGATCGCATAATTCAAAACCGCAAGCTCGACCAGTATGGTTGATTTAAGCGATTCCAAAAGTCGGCGAAAGAATTCAACCTTTCCTTTCCTAAAGATCCACATGATCTTGTGACCAGTAGGCAGGCGAAATCTACTGGCGAGCGGATTGTCAGACTTGGTCGCTTTTTTCAGGATATCCTCAATCTCAGCAAACACACGCTTGCACTCGTCGACGATCTTGATGCTCGTATCAAAGGCATCCTGTCTGAATAGTTGAGCTTTTCGGCCAAATTCCATCGCCTTGGCAAGATCCTTGAGAACCTGACAGAAGAGAGCAATGTCTTTTGCGATGTAACTCGTCTCCTGCGTGTGTGTCAGCTTGAACTATCGAAGTCTTGAGTGAAGCTCCTACCTGGTTGGCCGAAGCGATAGCATCTGCAACTTGAAATAACCCGATTGAAAGCTGTGTTCCGATTTGGGCAACCTGCAATATACTGGCGACAGCACCAATCTTCGAAATGTTAGAGAAATGGGCGGGGTGGTCGAACGTCCAGACATACTGCCTCCATCGTCGCAAGAGCTAGCCGAAAAACCCTACGTACAAGGTCTACTGGGGAGAAGCTTTCATTGCGCCGTCATGTTAATCCTCGCACCCTTTGTTGCGGTAGTCATTAGAGATATGAATGGAAGAAATGGGAGCCAAGTAGTCAAGGCATACGTACGTACGGGCTGAAACGTGGTTGACCGGTTTTGGTTGTCTGCTCAGCCACCAGCCCCGCTCAGCCACAAACATCTCCACCGTGGAGTATGCGGGTCGCATAAACGACGCTGACAAGAAAGCTTCAGCCTATCAGAATGACAGCAATTGTATTTCTCACTTGACGTTGTTCAAATGTGAAGGTATAGTCTAACGCAGCAGCGCCTGCTTTTCGACTCTCAATGGCCATCGCTACTCCGTCAACTCGGTCACCTTCTCGCCAGACTCCGCACGAGAAGGCGTCCGGGCCCAAGAATAACACAGTCTATCAAGGCCTAAGCACAAGTTTGGATCGTATTTACTATCGAAGTATCGGCCGTTATGTGTTACAGTATTGTAGAATACGATTGGTATGTGTACTAGCTATGGGAAGCTAAGCACACATTGTTCCCATATGTTCAAAGTTACTTGGTTAGACTGGCGCTTTAATTATAGGCTTCTCTGTTGAAGCATCATTCATACCCATGATCTGGTGCTTATTATGTATACCAGCATCGGGTAAATGACACTACCTGTGTCTGACTTTGTCCAAGGAACTAAGGGAATGAAGTCACACCTCTCTTCAAATGAAGGATATCGACGTTCAATTACAGTGACGAGCAACACCTTATTATACTTTGCATCATGGTATTTCTTTCTATAAGACATATTGATCTTGACTTAGCGAAAACTCTATACTACTTATCCCTCTTATCAACCATGCGGATCCCATAAGAAATGTGATATCTTTCGTTGGGAACAATATGTTTCTTGAAATTACTGCTAATTACTCGCGGAAAAAAACCCATTATCCACGACTAACTTCATTGTAGCTGACAATCAGATCGAGACACATGCTTACCTTCAACACTCCACTCTTTTTGACTTCTGCAAAGACAAGGGAATTCTTTTAAAATCCTACTCTCTCAAAGATAGCACTTAAATAGTCGAGCCGCGTGCCATAGAAGACAGGGTTATAGACTTGTTACGTTACAAAGGGGGTAAGTGGCATGATCAACTTTTTTCTAGTGGAGTTATGCAGCGTGACACTGTGGTGCTACCTCAGAATGATACGCCAAGTCGCATGGAAAACATGTAGGTAAAACCATTGCCAAATATGGTATTCAATAAATTAAGTTTACTAAGGGGATGTGAACGATTCAACTTACAATTACGGTGTACGTTCGGCGTTGCCGAGGAGATCAGCAATGAATGGGTACACATGATCGTTCAAGAGTGCTTAAGGAAGAGAGTAACCGAATTCGTCGTCTGGGCAAGGAACCAGGGAACGAAGCTTAGCGATGAGTTCATGTATTCGTACGTATTGTGCCTTGGCATCTCGTGTCAAGCACATCTTTCTTTGTATTCACGAACTTGGCCCACTATTTCCAACGTAACTGCATGGTGGAGAAATGGCGGATATACTCTGTCGATGTGGTTTCCGTGCGCGGCAATCGTGGTGGTGATTATTTGGGAGAAGATTGATTGGTGCACCTAAAAAAAGATATTAAGTTGGAGACTATTCCATTCACGTCTGCCGACAGAATCCTGCGCCTGGGCAAAAGTAGAGCTATTGAGCCTCACAGGATTTTTGCAGGGGGACACCTGCCTGATCTTGAAACAAGTATTTGATGCGCATGTATTTGGTTTTGTAAATCCCATGTTTTTGTTTTCAACTAGGAGCAATGCAATGCGAAAAAAGGCCTAAGCAGACTAGCTAGCATAATTTCTAAAGTTTTACGCACAAGTAGCTGTCCTTTTGTCATAATCCTAGTGGCTGCTTGATCATCATTGAAATACAGCAGTTGATTGGCTGGGACAGCTGCTTTTCTATCAAAAATCGCGGGAACCCACTGCTATGTGCTTGGCAAAATATGATTTACAACACGAGTAATGATGAGCAGCGATAGTCTTCACACTAGTCGTTCGCTACTTCAATGGAATGTTCCACGTGGCAAAGGTGTGGCAGTGCACTACTTTAGGATAGGCACTTCTGCAGGATGTAGTACTTAATTTGACACCAAGTGGCATGTCAACTACTAGATTGTTCCGCGTGACAGTTAAAGGAAGCTTGCATATGCAAAGCTTATTGGACCATGTCATTGCATCATAGCGCTCATTGTGCAGTACTGTGGAGAAGCGCAGAAAGCTGTTCAGCACCTATTGGATACCAATTGAGGTCAAAATAGTCTTAATGTGGATAAACGCTGTGTTTGCGATTGTATCTTGCATGGCTAATAACATTAAGGTGGTGAACGTTCTTTGTGCTAACTAGAATGCGACTTTGGCTCTAGCATAGCTACTCTTTTTTTAGGTCTGCGATCTACAAGGTGGCAGTCTAAAGAACTATAGATCGATTCTATAGAAGGCTTAATTCTCCTTGATTTGGGGATTTATGGGTCTAAACTGCGCTAACTGGCTGGGCAAAATACGATTATAGATATGGTGTACTAAGTAGGTAGAGCGACGCATCAATCTATACCCTGTTCGTCGTGTTGTGGATGAAAAGGTACCCCTGTGGGAATAGACCCATGTAGAGTCAGTTCCTTAGATAGCTCAAGTGGTTGAGGCTGGGGGAAAGGAAGCAACCGGTCGAAGCCGATGTTACTCTGAGATTCCACTTACAGGGGCGACCTTCACTGTCCAGCGTAGCAATTCCCCGCCCTGGCACACTATTCACCATCCACCAAGTGACTACAGTCTTCTTTGCGCTACGAAGATGATCATGAAGAAGAAAATTGTCTCCATTTCACCGAAAGGTCTAAGTTCCAGGCTCCAAAAGATTTGGTGAGATACATGCACGCGACTCTCAGGCTGCTGACAGCCTGGAGTACGGTGCCGGTGATACCTAGTTCCGCCGAAAGAAGGCGGACTGGAGCCAATACTCGCTACGTGCTTGAGTGGGTAATTTTAGGGCTGATCAACTTAGCGATAGAAAGCTAATCATGTCTAGACCGGTCTCATCCTAGCGTTTTCCCCTGCACCCAAAATAAGATTGCAGCAATCAAAGGCCGTTCTCTGAACGATGCAGCCCCCGGGCCGTTCCTCAAGCCGCTCATCGAATCTCAATTCATCGCACTACCATAACTGCATTGTTCGTATCCAGAATACGATGTCACTACGCCCACTGTTAACATGATAGGTGACACCAAGCTTGATTAAGTTCTGACACGGATGTAATCTATTTGCCCGTTTGCTCCTGAACGTCATCCTAGTCGGCAAATGTACATATATAGCTAATTAATGAACTACGTCGTCTCCGAGCATCTTTCCCCAGTCTTTCGTTTCCATCACTCTACAGCACAAACCTAAGGACATCATGAAGAGCAACCTCGCAATCGGTCTCGCGCTGATTGCGCCCAGTTATCAGGCGTACGTCTGGCCCAGCCAATACGACCGCACCGAGGACCTGTTATATTTACAAAGCGGCTACATTAAAATCGGCCAAATATCTGATCGTGCGCACTGCCTTTTCCATAACAATGGTCTGACAGAGAACTTACATCAAGACAGAAGTTCAGACGTGCGATTTTGGCGCGGGTGCACCTGGTATACAAAAGGCAGCGGAGTGGGTACGAACCGCCTTCCACGATTCTGTGACACACGATGCCTCTAAGAAAACTGGAGGACTGGACGCCTCGATCCAATTTGAGCTTGAACGACCAGAGAACCTTGGCCAGGCACTCAACAACACATTATCGGACATGGCTGCCGGCTACGATATCCGCACCCCGATGTCAGACCTTCTCGCAATGGCTCTAGTTATGTCAGTGGATCGTTGTGCGGGCATGCACGTACCACTAAGGCTGGGCCGGAAAGATGCGATAGAAGCCGGTATCAAAGGAGTGCCCGAGGCCCATACAAGCCTCGAGACCACCCGCCAGCGATTCGCAACTGCTAGTCTCAGTGAAGGTAAATCCGCCGTCGTATGCCATCTCGTAGATTGACTGAAAGCTGACTTTCCCTAGTCGATATGATCACTTTGATTGCTTGTGGGCACAGCATTGGTGGCGTCCACTCGGTCGACCACCCTGAAATTGTCTCTGGTCCTGTTAGCGAAGAGAACAAAGCCAGTTTTGACACCACCAAAGATGTTTTGGACAACCAAGTGGTGGTGGAATACCTTAACAACTCCACCACAAATCCACTAGTCCGCAACGCCAACGATACATTGAACTCGGATAAGCGTGTCTTCGCTTCGGATGATAACAAAACCATGAGAAAGCTGGCAGATCCAGCTTATTTCAAGTTGCAGTGCGAGGATGTCTTTACACGCATGCTAAATCTCGTCCCGGGAGACGTCACGCTCACCGAGCCCCTACAGCCAGCAGACGTCAGGCCATACCCTGTGAAATACGAAGTCAATGACGACGGAGGTGTAGACTTCAGCCTCCGCCTCCGTATCCGTATCTCAGAAGGTAGCGGTTTTGATCCCGCATCTCTCAACGCATCTATCATTCCCATCAAGCACGATGGCATTCTAGGGGAGGAGATCAATGGTGTGATGGCCACAATGATGGGGGGAACATCGAGCGGCTACCAGAGGGAGCTATTTCAATGGTTCGAAGTCTTCCAATCGCTCAACGCCAGCGACGTTTTTGACTCGTTTAAAATCCGCGTCAACGGCAAAATCTACGACAACGGCGGAACAGGTAGCTACCCTGTCAACGGCGATGTGCTTTGGCAATCAGCACAGACGTGCGCCAATTTCCATCCCGATCAGAGCATCGATATGACCTTTGTTGCTGCTATCTCAAAGACTCTGTTGGCCAAGGGAGCTACCCCACAAATTCACGTGGTCGAGAGGACGCGAGTCCCAGGAAATGTTGTTCCTAAGTTGACCCCAGTCGTGCTCCCGATGCAGCGTACCTCTCAAGAGAAAGCTGGATACGTATATTACACTGTTGAAAGGAAATTCGACAATCAAACCGAAACTTCTACCTTTGATTTTATAGTGGGCGATTCCAAGCTTGAGTACCTTCAAACAGGTGATCTGAATACATGCCAGACTTCAGCATAGAACCTGTTGCATTTAGACTTTCTTCGATATCAAATAACATAGACTAGTTAGTTAACGTTTATTTAATAAATTCAAAAAGACAGCTTGGTTTAGCCAAGTTCCTTAGTTATTTTATTTCACACAAGTATTCAACTGGAATATCTTCTATCTGCGTGATAAATCCAGCGTTTTTCATAATCATTTTTCTAGGTTTCATCATCCCCGATCGATCTCAATGCGTAGAGATTGTTATCAACTCATTCCTATTTTTTTCATCAATTTTTGAGATTCGCAGTAAGGTACATTCAGTATTTCGTGCTGGGAGAAGTCATCTTGGAATTCTCTCCCTGATTAAACTAACTGTAGCTTTTTTCCCCCGAGAATATTCCTATATCTAGCCCCCTTGCGATATAGTAGCCCGCAAAAGTCACTGCATTCAATCAAGCCAAAAAAAAAGATCGCCACTCGCCAGGTATCAGTGGCGTACAGTTTTCTCGACAAAATTCTTGCAAGTCAATTCAAGAAAGACTTCAGCCATGCTTCTCAAAAAAATAGGTCTAACAGTCGTTTGGAAACCCGTCGAGGATCTGTAACGCTTCTGTTTGTCCATGTGATTGCGTTATCCCCATATTACGTCTCGATTCATGTGGAGCAGTGGGTCTGCGCGCGCCCAGAGCAATACCTCCACTCTTCTTATCTGGCTATGCTGGTTTGCGGAGGCGGGGCCATGATTACCGCCTAACTGCGGAGTATAAAATCACAACTTGTTGACTTTGTTGCCACTCCGTCTGAGGGGGGGGGGCCTTTTTTCGCTAGGCATGTCAATACTGTGGGTGAATCGATAATGTGCTCGCGTGCCTGTCAAGTCAAATCTGTTGGGCGCCTATGTCGGATTCGCAAAATCGAGAATTGGCATCTGTCGAGCTAGGAACCCACATTCTTTCGTTGACACTGGCATACTGAAAGTTACTCATCGGTCGGTTGCTTACTCTACATATATCTTCCTGTTGAATGAATTGATCTCCACTTGCCTACTTCGTTATCTATGCAGTTGAGGCCACCTGATCTTCAATCGTATGAGGTGTGGACCTTCGGCTACCATGTGCATGTACTACCGGTCCTAGACACCTGGTTGTCGAAGTATGCCAAGTCCGTCACGAAAGCCAAGACATCGTAGTGTACTGTTGATACCCGTGAGCGGGATGTCAAAAATGGATAGAGGCGATTTGTTGCCAAGATTTACGTAGTGTAGCGAACGGGTAGTGTTTTCTTCCCGCGGGTAAACAGCGGATTGGTGAGCGGATTCGCTCTTCGTTCTCAGGTTCCCGTGCCAAAGCCATTTTGGGTTAGGTTTAAACCAGGAGGTATACCTGGATTGGGACAAAAATCGGAAGCTGTTCGGTCGGATCTCCGCTGTATGGTCACATGTTCCCCACGTGGGTGGAAAATTTCCAGGAAACAGGCACATTGTCTGTAGCCAAGTGATGGGGCGGCTCCTCCAGAATAGAGCTGAGGAGACTATGTACATTCCGGGCTCTAGTTCGCTCAAAGAGGAGAAAAAAATGGGTCGAAGCACCGCCAAGCAAGAGGAATGAATATTGGCGTTGCGGTGGCAAAACCGAGTTCTTGGAAGAAAGTATGCACGACCAGAAGCTCCGTTTTACCGAACACGGCGCCGTTTGCAGGTCCGATGTAAATGCGGAAAACGGGGCTGAACCCACCCAGCAGACCCTGTGTGCTTTCTGGGATCCCGCGGGAACAGGACTTTGCGCCTCCGGCAATGCGTACCCGCTTCGTACCTACGGATACCCTCTGAAACCTCTGTGTTACAATGATGAACGCGCGTTCGAGTTACCGTAGTATATACCATCTCGATAGCCAAGTAGAAGTAATGGAAAAGTTTACACGGTCTACACAATCTACACAGTTTACACAGTTTGCGCTTACCGCACCATTTCCACCATGAGCGCAGCCATTGCTACCCATCCGGTTGACCGGAAACAAACCTCCACAAGCCTCAACACTCCATCTCAAGTAGCAGCGCCCAAGAAAACTACCCCGACTGCCATCGTATCGTTATTCTCGGGCGCTGTCGCTGGAGGTGTTGAAGCCACAGCAACCTACCCGTTCGAATTCGCCAAGACACGCGCACAACTGCAAGTAGGCGCTGGCGGCTCAAAAAATCCCTTTACCGTCCTCTCTCAAGTCGCCAAGACGGATGGCGTAAGGGCCATCTACACCGGCTGCTCTACGTTGATTGTAGGCACGGCTTTCAAGGCTGGTGTCCGCTTCCTCTCCTTCGACTCCATCCGCAACCGCCTCGCCGATGAACGCGGTGTCCTCTCACCAGCTCGCGGCATGCTGGCTGGTATGCTGGCTGGCGCCGTCGAGAGTGTGGTTGCAGTAACGCCGACCGAGCGCATAAAGACTGCTCTGATCGACAACGCGAAGAGCGGCGGGCAACGCTACAATGGAGGCTTCCACGCTTCGAGAGTCATTCTACAAACCGACGGTATTGCTGGACTATATCGAGGTTTGGTGTCTACAACTGCGAAACAGTCAGCTACTTCTGCGGTTCGCATGGGATCGTACAATGTCCTGAAGGAGTTCGCGAGGCGGAAAAACCTCAAGCAGAACAGCGCACTTACTTTTGGCATGGGTGCCGTCGCCGGTGTCATCACCGTCTACGCAACACAACCTTTCGACACTATCAAGACACAAGCGCAGAGCGCGCGAGGTGCGAGCACAAAGGATGCTTTCCGGTCGGTACTGTTGAAGGGAGGAGTGCGAGGATTCTGGAGCGGTAGCACGATGCGGTTAGGCAGGCTGGTTTTGAGCGGTGGCATTGTTTTCACAGTTTATGAGAAGGTCGCATATCTGCTGACACCTTCCAACCAATAATTTCCAACCAATACCATTTTTTAAGTTTCGTTAATATATCCTCTTGTTCTGTTTTAAGGCATCAAAAGTACTTGAAGGCTGGAGTTCAAAGGCCCTGTGAATAGCGTCATCTGACCCAGTAATTTCCTCAAGGAGTATAGTAAAGGTACCGTTGTTCATCTCATAGAACACCAGAATATCTTTCTCTTTTTTGTAGATTTACATTAGCGCTATCAGCAGAGGTCCACTTCTCTAAAATCCACTCTCCCAAATCTCTGGTATTAATATCTATGTACATCTTCTTTTAATGCATCTCTTTTCTTCTGATAGGCTTCCAGAAGTATTTACTACGATATAAAGCTACAGAATTCGGTGACTATCACTCCCTGAAGAAGAAAAAAGCTAAAATAGTTGAAAGAAGGGTAAATCCAGTGCTAAGCACACTTTGCACCGATAGCGTGAGCGCTAGACAGGACCGCCGGGTCAACTGACTCCAGCCGTCCTTTGCCTTCATTTTGTCATCAGTATGCCATGGTGAATTCCTTGCACGAGCTGCACTTGTCCATTTCCTTGTGATAGAAGGATGCTTGGTGTTCCCTCTGCCTACACCGGATTGATCCCGCGGCAACTCGATCCCGTGGCGGGAAGAGGAGAGTGCTGTCCATTACCCGCGGGACGGCAGTGTGGCGGCTTCCCGAGGGAAAAGACCGGTCTTGGCCTCGTTACAAGGGGCGGCGCCTGAGGCCTCATCCCAGCTAGTCTGGCTGAACGATTAGATTTTCCCAACGACTAACGTTTTTCTTGTCCAGCCAAGCCTCAGCCCAGCCTCAGCCCATCCCAATCGTTCGTTGTTTGCGGGGCCCCGCACCTGTAGGGTATCTGGGGGATTCACCAGCACCTGTCATGCAAGGAAAGTCTACCCAGATGGCTGCATACACTATGGTCAAGCCTCTTTTCTGGGCATTCAATCTGGGCATTCGATATATATAACAGTATGGATCGCATCACTATGGAACCAGCAGCGCGGGTGTCCATCTTACTTCCCAGCTCCTCCTTCAACAACAATAACAACAACTCCTGTGCTACATAGACGTTTCGGTCGAGCAACATGACGGAGAAACGATCTGTCGACTTCATCGACGAGAAGGGCGCCGATGCCGAACTCAAGGAAGTCATCGCTGACCGCCAGGTCCAAATCACTCCTCAGCAGATTCAAGCCCGCTTTGAATCGCTCCGTGACTTGACTGAGGAGCAAATGGCTATATTGAACAAGCAGCTTGTTAAGAAGCTCGATTGGCGACTAATGCCTTGCATCACTCTCATGTTCTTGATGAAGTAAGACCCTGGTCCCGAAAATTTGGTCTGCACGTGAGCAAAGTTAACAGTGCATCTAGCTATCTCGACCGTATCAATGTCTCAAACGCACGCCTTGCTGGACTTCAAGAAGATTTGCACATGTCAGATACACAGTGGAATACTGGTATCTCGACCTTCTATGTTGGTTACCTTGTCGGCCAGCTTCCCGGTAACCTGTGGCTTGCCAAGGCGGATCCCAGGTGGCTTTTGCCATCCATGATGATGGCTTGGAGTATCGGAACGATCTGTATGCCGGCCATGACAAGCGGCGCTGGATTTGCGGTCTGCCGTTTCTTCATCGGTCTTTCAGAAGCACCTTTCTTCCCCGGTATCACACTGAGTAAGTTCCAGCTTGTACACCCAGACACGGGTTGAAAGAATTTGAAACTGACAGAGATCAGTGACTTCTTCATGGTACACCAAGGAAGAGAACCCAATGCGCATGGCTATCTGGCACGCAGGAAACACCATGTCCAACATCTTGTCCGGTTTCTTGGCTGCAGCTATCCTCGAGAACATGGACAATCTCCTTAAACTCCACGCATGGCAATGGTTCTTCATCATTGAGGGCGCCGTCTCCATTCTCGTAGCAGCCATTGCTTACTGGGCGCTTCCATCTTGGCCACACAACACTCGCTGGCTTTCAAAGGAGGAGTCAGAAATGGCACAATACCGTGTCCAGGTATCCAACGGTGGTCATGAGGAGGAGTTAGGTGGAACATGGGACGGACTCAAGGAAGCCGCCAAGGACCCCTTCACCTGGTTCTTCTGCATGATGCACTTCGCTCTTGTCACCGCTCAGAGTTTCAAGGACTTCCTGCCCTCGGTAAGTTCTACATCTCTACTATCCTTCTGAAATATCTCTTGACTAACCGTGCCGCCTTACAGATCATGAAGACCTTCAAGTTCGACACTCTTACCACCTACCTCGTCCAAGCTCCACCCTACGCCATCGCATACGGAGTTGCCTGCGGTCTCGCCTACACTTCCGGTCGCTTCCAAGAATCCTTCTATCACATTGTGATTCCCATCATCTTCAGCGCTGCAGGCTGCGGTATGCTCATCGGAACCCTCAACATTGGCGCCCGCTACTTTGGTCTCATCCTTCTCATCAGCGGCACCTACTCCGGTCTCAATCTTCAGCTCAGTTGGGAAACTACTCTCGTACCCGCCCCACGTAGTAAGAAGGCTGCTCTTATCGCTATTGCCAACTGCATCAGTCAAGTCAGCCACTGGTTCAGCCCCTACTTTTTCCCCAGGTCCCAAGAGCCTTTCTACAGACTCGGTGGTGGCTTGATCTTGGTCGGCTGCCTGATTTGCTGCGTCTCAGCCGGCTTGGTCAAGTGGCGTGCGGTGCGCTTGAACAAGAAGCTCGATGAAGCTGAAGGCTGGTCCGAGCACACTGGTGTCGAGCGCGGATGGAGATATGTGTATTAACGTGTTTGATGAGAAACGTTCCTCGCAACGAGTTAACGATTAGTTATATGCCAGTCCGCTATGATTAAGCTGTGCTTAGTATAATGTACTTTGTTGTTTTTATCAAGTTAAAGAGATATCAATTCATGACTTTCATGCTTATTCTATACTTGCCAATCTATTTTGCAGTTTACAAGAACCTGTTCATTTGCCATGGTATGCGATTCAGATCTCCGGTTTTGGAAAAATATGTCTGAAAAGGTTCTGATATGGGCCTACCCCGTGATATTCTAAAAAGGACGTTAAGTCCATTCTAGCAACACCTGAAGCAACAACAGCCATGCTACAATTACCACTTCGAGCAATAGAGTTCCAAACTTGATCTTCTCAATTAAGCCTAGTACATTAAGCCTAGTACAACCCCTCTACTCCTTCACCTCATCCCTCACAAACCGACTCGTCCCCGCAACCTTGACCGCCAACAACCAAATACTAACATCACTCATAATATCCGCCGTCGCGACATCCGCCCCCACCGCCTTGGAAAACCAATTCCGCATCTCCACCGCCACCAGCGAATCGACGCCGTACCGATAAATCGCTTTCTGCGGGTCGATATCGTCTTTGCTTACAACCAGTAAGCTAGACAACTGCACTTGGATGGCTCCAACGATGATATCCGTGGCTTGAGCCAGAGACTTTGCTTCAGACAGCAAGTGCGAGGGCCGCGACTTGTCTGTCTCGGCGGTGCTGGAGATACGTGCTGGTAGCGTGTCGAGGTAGTGGTAGATGGGGCGTGTGCTGCCGAGTGGAGCCACGATACCCATTGCACGGAGATCCGCAGGGAGAGTTAAGGGTGTGATGATTTGCGAACCCACGCTGCTATTATCTACGCGGCTGGGGTCGCAGCAGAAATGGAGGAGGGAGAAGATGTCTTGTGTGGATACTTCTTCCAGCATGCCGCGGACACGGAGGAGGGCTTGGACTTGCTCGTTTTGCGCGACGTAGCCCACGCCTGTTACCATGCTTAAGGCGAGGGCGTGGGCGCGCTGGCCGTGGCGCATGCGGTGCGCGGCGAGAGCGTCTTGGTAGGTGTTGCCGACTGTGTAGTTTGATTGGCCAAAGGAGCCCATGATGCCGGTTGAGGAGGAGAGCATGACGAAGAAGTCGAGGTTGGGAGGGAGGAGCTGGTGGAGGTTCCAGGAGCCGTCGACTTTGGGGGCAAGTGACTGATGCCACTTTTCGACTGACATGTTTGCAAAGGATGAGTCGCGCATTACCATTGCGGCTTGGATGCAGCCTTTGATGTCTGGGAAGTCGCGGACAAAGTCCAGCATGCTTTGTAGTTGGTGCTTGTCGGCGATGTCACACACTGGTGCTTTGACGATGGCGCCTTTTTCCTGGAGCTCTTGTATGAAGTGCTCGCGATCGGACCCGGTTCCTTCGACTGGAGAGCGTGATGGTAATATCAAGTATCGAGCGCCTTGCTGCACTATCCACTGGACAATGCTTTGGCCTATGCCACCGAAAGCACCCGCGACAAGGTAGCTTGCATCTTCATGGAAGAGTAGCTTGGAATGACTCGATGCGACTTCCATATCGACAACCTCATCGCTGTCCATTTCAATCACAACCTTGGCCATGGTTTCCTTGTCTTGCACAGCCCGGAAAGCCTTCTCGACCTCGCTCTGTTTAAACACGGTCAGTGGTACGTGTGGTATTGTATGACCATCGACAATCATCTGGCAGACATTCTCGAAGATTCCTTCGAACAAATGGCTTTCCGCTAGTTCCTGAAAGTTGAAATTGACGAGCGTGACGTTCTTATTCGCCACCACCGCTGGTAACGAATTCCCCTTCGGACGGCTCGCCGTGGAAACAAAAGCATGTTTCTCTCCAACATCAACAATCCTTCCAAACGAAGCAATACAGCCGCTTGAACTGTGTAACTCTTCAGTTGAGCCCAAAATAACATCTACACCTCGTCCCTCAGTCTTACGCCGGATTTCGTACTCGAGATTTGGGTCTCCAGTGACGAAAGTAGACAACATGGTAATAGTGCTATAACGAAGTAAGCAATCCGCCTGCTCTTCCGATTCAACTGTTGTAAAGATATTCATGCATCCCCGATGTATACACATCATGAAAGCGGCGTGCCCGAGCGCACTGGTCGCATCGTGGATCAGTACATTGTCGCCCAGCTTGACACCTGCAACTTGCATCAGTGCAAAGTAAGCCGTGCAGAACGCTACGGGGACCGCAGCTGCTTCGGCAAAGCACATTCCCCCGGGAATCTTTCGTAGTTGCTTGAAGCTGCTCACTGCCGTTTGTGCAACGCCGTTGCGTGTGATGCCGAAGATACGGTCTCCGGGTTGGAAATGGGACGCGCTGCGTGATCCGGTTTGCAGTACGATGCCTGCGATTTCGCTGCCAAAGGCGTCGTCGTGGACTTGGCCTAGTGCGACTTGGACATCGCGAGTGTTGAGGCCCACGGCCTTGACTTGGACAAGGACGTCGTCACTTCCAAGCGTGTCGTTTTGGGGATCATCTTGCTCGTAGTGCAACGTGTTGAGAATGCCCGCAGCTCCGATTGTGAGGATTGGATTTTTCAGTTCACTCCATGGCTTGGAAACAGTGGTCGCAACGTCTTTGGACTGTGGCAGTACCGTTGCGGCCAGCTCTGCATCATCGACTACGCGTGGTGTACAGAGAACGCCGTCAATTTCCCAATACTCATCTTCGGGGTCATTAGTCTGATCCGCGAGCTTTGCGTCTAAGACTCCCATGATATTACTCGCGAGCTTCTGTAACTCATTCTCGCAATCCAGACTAACGCTGATGAGATGGTAGTCTTCGGACTCCGTGGCTAGCGTGCGCACAAGGCCTGATACAAGGCCTTCCGTAGGACTCTGGTCCAATGCTGGATGTTGAAGCGTTGGCCAGATGAGTGCGTCCGCTGTTGAGAGGAGTTGCTTGATCTTGCTCAAATCGTCATCTTTCATAAGACGCAAGAGTGTTCCATCTAGTCCAGGAAGAAACACGCAAGTAGCTTGGGATACATCTTGTTGGGGGACGGAACTCCAAGATATCGGGATTATTGAGACATTGCAGTGTGAGAGTGCGACTTTTCCAAGTACATCTGCTAAGCTGCTCTGTAGAAAGTCACGCTCGTTGTATACAACATAGACAGTTGAGCCAGAGTAAAGTGATTCTCTCTCCTGCTGACTTAGTTCGGGGAAGGTAGCCGGTTGCCAATCAATGCGATACAGAGTCGGTGGTGCTTCTCCTTCATCCGCAGCTGCACCGCTCCGTCCAATCGTCGAAGTCTCCAACTCCCCGTAGAAGTAGAGTTCTTGATCCTGCTCATCCGCTGCAGTAACATCAAAAAGCTTGTTCCGGAATCCGCAACCCTTGACTTGCGCGTTCACTTTTACACTCTTTGCTTCGTTCGATGCGCGCAGCAAATTGGCTGAGAACCACGCGTTGGTGAAGCCCGTAGGTACCGTCGTTGCAGACGCATTCTTGGCAAAAATGGAATAGGCGGGAAATGTTGTCTGCAAGATGGTGTCTAGCGCAGCGGGATGAATCAAATGGGCATCGGTATACATGAATTTCGCGTGTTTCTGCCATTCGGAGAGGCCAATTGATCCTGTTGCTTGTTGACTCTGCTCATCCCATTTGACAGCGTGCATGCTGCGGAACGTGGGACCGTAGGATAGCCCTGCCTTGTTGAACGCATTGTAGATTTCCTCATGGCTAATGTCGGTGCGGCACTGCTTTGTAGCTGCGAGGAATTTTTCAGCTCTTTCGGTCTGTACAGCTGAAGTCTCGTTTGGGTTGTCGTATGCGATTGAGATAGAGCCGGAGCAGCAAAGATGCCATGTGTCATTCTCATATACGTAGAGCGAGAAATGGCTCCACGAACTTCCTGGTTTTGTATCTCGCGCATCTACACTTCCAGGACGTAGTGTCAGTTGTATCTCTGTTCCTCGTGGATTCTCGGATAATGTCATAGGTTTCGTGAACGAAACATCTTTCATTCTGTACCCGGAAGCATCAGCACCTGCGTCGCCGTAAAACTGGCGCACTGCCTCGATAGCCATGACTAGCATGCCTGCTGCTGGCATAAGACACAATCCGTTGATTACGTGATCTTTTAGATACGGCGATTGGTCTAGAAGAATACGGTTCGTCCAGCGTGCCTCCAGTTCGTTCCAATCAGGTGTGCGAGATCCAAGTAGCTCGTGATGCACGAATCTGGTTTGGCGGTATTGGATACTTGTCCGGCCTTCGAGCCAATATCTCTTCTTATCTTCAAACTGATAGCTAGGGAGGGATGTGAGAAGCTTTGAATCGGAACCGCGAACATTGTTGACAGCTGAGATATCGACACATGTCCCAATAGTATGTAGTTTTCCTGCGCACTGCATGGCTGTGACATCTGCCGCGTGATCGCGACGCAATACAGAAACGTATTCGGATTTTACGTCTCTCCCTGCAGTTTTGAGAATATCGCTGAGAGGAGAGCGCAAGGCGGAGTGGGGTCCGATTTCGACAAAGTAGCATGATGATGTATCCGGTTTTGTACAGATTCCCTCCAGGGCGATTGAGAATCTGACAGAGCCAGTAAGATTCTTATTCCAGTAAGCTGCAGTTCTCAGTTCAGCGAGTTGATCCAAGGGTTTTCCGGTGACGGTGGACACGAAAGATGGCTGATCGTCGAGTGGTTCTCCGGGCTCGATATTTCGTAGAAGCTTATTGTAGATACCAGCTACTGGCTTCATGTGATGAGAATGGTATGCAACATTAACCTTCAGGATGTGTACTTCGATGTTTGCTTCTTTTAATGTCGACGAAAGTTGATGAATGGCGTCGCGAGGACCAGAAAGTGTAAAGCTGCGCAGACTGTTGTAACAAGCTATGACGACGGGGTCTTCCGCGTGTGATTCATTCTGCTTATCCATCAAATGCTTCCAGGAGTCCAGCGGGGCCTGAACAGCAACCATGGCACCATTCGATGGGCTCAAGGACTGAGTGATACTGACTGCAAGGCCTCGGAAGTATGCAACCATCCATGCAGATTCGCGCGAGATCGCGTAACTGGCGTATGCAGCAGCAATCTCGCCAGACGAATGGCCGACAGAAACAGATGCTCGGATTTTCCAGGAAGTCAGTAAATCAACGATTGCGACTTGAAGAGCTGTGCATATTGGTTGACTAAGTTCCGGTTTGTGGATAGCTGTTTCGCTCTCGGATTTGTTGCATAGTTCATCTGTAGTAGTTTGCATTAATTGATGAGCTTGAAAACATGTCGATAACCTTACCTATCAAAGACCACGAACTTCCCAGCGATTGAAAGTACTGGTCAGCTTCTCGCATAGTCTTCGAGAAAACATTGTATTGCATGAGCTCGCGACCCATCCCATGCCATTGTGCGCCTTGTCCCGTGAACACGAAGCAAATTTTTGCATTTGGTTTTGATCGCACAGGTGGAGACCAAGCCATTTCAGACTGAGTGTTTGATAAGGCGACACATGTACTCTTCCATGGAAACTTGGTACGTTTCTCGGCCAGAGTATATGCGATATCGTTCAGTGTCTGACGGCGATTTTCATCATCCATGTGATCGCTCATCCACTTCTTCAGCGCATCAATCGATCGATGAACTGCTCGCTCATCAAAAGCAGAGATGGCCAATAGCTTCGGAGTGAACTTGCTGTTTTCACCCGCAAAAGTACTGGCTTCTTCATAATCGCCTGCAGAACCAGAAGGCGTGTCGTCACAAGTCGTGCTACCAGAAGGCATGGTTTCAGAACCATTCTCGTTACTGGAAGTGCGGATCAAGGTCGAGGTGTTGCAAGGATGGACGTGTTTCGCTTCCTCAATCGTTCGGACATCTGCGGTGCAGTGTCTCCCTTCTAGACCCTGCTCGCGGAGAAAGCTGAGCGCATCATCGATAACGACATGTGCATTTGTTCCACCGTATCCGAAAGAGTTCACGCTTGCACGTCGGACTCCACTGGTCGGCCATAGCACGGGTTTCAACGGGAATCTCAAGTTCGGTCCAGCGGCCGTAACGGCAGGATTGATGCGTTCAGGGTAAACATTCGGCGGGATGATACCCTTTTCAAGTACCAGTAACGTTTTTATCACCCCAGCGATACCGCTAGCGCCTTCAGGGTGGCCCATATTTGACTTGAGCGCGCCAACGAAAATTGGGTCTTCGGGCGTCCGAGCAGAAAATACACTGTTGATAGCAGCAGCTTCACATGGATCTCCAGCCTTAGTACCAGTTCCATGTGCTTCAAAGTAGCGAGTTTCGTCGAGACTGAGACCGGCTCGTGCATACGTCTCGCGAATAAGGCGCTCTTGTGCGGATTGGCTAGGCGATGTGATACTCGGAGTGTTGCCATCTTGGCCGCAACCCGTCGACCGAATCACACCGCGGATATTATTGCCATCGGCAATAGCTTCTGAAAGTCGCTTGAGAACCAGGACTCCAAAACCCTCTCCTCGTGCATAGCCAGAAGCTCTCTCGTCGAAGGAGTAGCATACGCTGTCTTTGGACATCATGTTAAGACTGCTCAATAGGGCAGTCGAGTCTGGTAGTAGACACAAGTTGGTGCCGCATACAAGAGACTGTTACCGTCAGTATTCTGATGTTAGAAGTCAATCCATTCCATGTAGTAATAGGAGGCCGAACCCCACATATTAGTCCGAACATCGCTACCAATTCCGAGGCGCTGCTGGTATATCTCCGGGCGTCTTTATTTGACGAAGTTATGAGATTAGACTCACCATATTAACGCTTCCAGCAAGTAACTCCTGGCACGCAAGATGAAGAGCAACAAGACCACCAGAGCAAGCTGTATCCACAGTCATACTAGGTCCACTGAAGTCGTAGAACCAACTCAACCGGTTTGATAACATAGCCAGACCACTTGAGCCAACAATACGATAGTCGCCAGGCATCTGAGCATCTCTCTGAGAAATTTGGCTGTACTCCTGTAATAAGCACCCCACGTGGACTGATGTTCGGGTGCCTACAGCATCCTGCATGGTAATACCAGCTAAGGGAAGATGGTATTAGTATATGTTTTGAATGATCCTGGGCTATCCGCATACCGTTTTCAAGAGCGTGATAACTCGTTTCGAGCAGCAAGCGCTGCTGTGGATCCATACATTCCGCCTCAGCCGGCTGAATAGAAAAGAACGGCGCATCGAAGCGTGCTGGATCGTCGGATAGAAAATGGCCACCGCGATTCTTCACAGTGCCAGGTCGGTGACCATTCTCTTTGTAGAATCCATCGATGTTCCATCGGTTCTTGGGAATCTCGGTCATGGTCGACCGGCGCTCGATGAGGAGTTTCCATAAGCTCTCTGCGTTTGTTACGTCTTGGGGGAATTTGAATCCGAAGCCGACGACTGCAATTGGATCGAAGCTATTTGTATCGGGAGAGGTCGGCTGAGAGCCTGATTGTGTATTTGAGAGCTTCATCGTGAAATGCACTTTGCGCTGATGTAGTGTTTTGTGCGATCAGCTGCTTGGTAGGTTCTTGGTCCTATCAACGTCCCTAACGTTGCTCACATGTATTTTGGTAAGACAAAATTGAGGCTGGCGTAGTGGAGTTTTGGAACTCTCAGAAACACATGTGTTCATGTGTAGAATCGTATCAGTTGGATGTTTGTTAAGGTATATGTCACAGGGGAGTGTTGCTGGAGCTAAAATGGAGCATATGCAGATGGAAGAGCAGATATTAAAGACCCTAGAATTAGAATATGCGGGGTGTATATAAAATGGTATCAATCAGGTGTTAACTCAAAATGGTTATATACTGCGTGCGCTGAGTGCTATTTGAGGCGACTGCGTTAAGCGGCGTTTTGCCTAGCTAGAAATGGCCCACTTGTTTTCCGAGACGGAAAGGCGGCATATGCATGCACGTATATGGAGCAGTCCGTGGTGACTGTTATGATCCTGGTAGTACAGGAGAAGTACCCGGATTCCACGACATCTGATACCTTCCTGTGATCAATGCATCATACGAGTATCCTGTCAGTACCTGAGTTTGGAAGGAAGTTCCCTTCATCCAGGTTATGGGAACGTAGAGAATATTTTCTGAAGCGTGTTGATCATCGGCTAGAGTGTGGTCATGCAGCTCCGCTGGACGCCTAATACGTTAAGCTCGACCCAAGCTGCATGCGCGCTCTTGCACTTTTACCGTTTATATTGTGCGCATACCAAAGAACCCGATAATTACTCTCATAGAGCGTTTAGAAATTCATGTACATCTCAATGGGTATAAGAGCAATGCCGCAGAGCTTGCGTTGGGTCGTGGAGTTGGGAGGGGTCCTATGAGCCGCAAAGTTACCCTCGTACCTCCATTGAATCAGGCATTGGTCAGGATTTTGAACCAGTAACGTTTGAACACGATATTTACCGAACCAGATATTTGAGGTAATTGCAGGTGAGTAGCAGGTGAAGGATTTAACAAGTTTACAAAAACATGGGTAAGGATAAGTGCAGATATGTGGGCCTTTGCGAGTTCAAGTCATAGAGAAGACGCGTCAGACACTCGAGTTACAGTCTAGGTCCTCGCGAGAACCACCAACTAGATGAAGGTCTTGTCTTTCCAAGATCCTTTTGGTCTCCAGTCTCGTTATAGTTCTTATGTAATTCGTTACACGACAGGCCGAATCATGCATCTAGTCCAGCGATTTATAATCCGTTGGGCTCCACAAGTTCGCTTCGACCTGATGTCAACTATTGACTCCACGCGGATGTCTGTTAACGTGCCCCGAACGCGACCTGCAGCAACCGAGTTTTACTTCCAGGAGTGTGCAAAGCGGGTGGATTCGCAAGGTCATCAGCCTTGGCTGTCAATCTGGCTATCACATGCTCGGGCAAGATTACCTAAATGCGTTACCTCTCGTATAGATGGATTGATGCTAAAATCAACGATTCAGTTCAGTGATATATTGCCGAGTACAAAAACTGGGGGTTTGAGAATGTGAATACCAGGCTGATACGTATCTCACAAAGACAGGTATATCGCATTTGAACTTTGCACAACCTGATCGCGATCATGAATGCTCAATCGGTGCACATTGGCAACCCCGCTTTGACATCTCCGGGTATTATTGAAAAGACCAATTGTTTCAATCTGGAGTTGCGGCAAATCGCAGGATCGATGGCAGGGCTTACCAAGGACGTGTCGGTTTTGGCCCCCAAAACTAAACTATCGTATGCGACTTGACACGGGCGATTGGGCGCCTGACAAAGGCTAGACTTTTTGCTCTGATTTGGAGCCATGTGTTCGTTACCATCATTATGGAGGTAATGGTGCGAAACGCTATGATTGCAACGGGTTACTTGACCTTTCAAAGAGCTTTTTGTGGTAAGGAAATGTTAGACAAAGGTACATCTGCTGGTCGTTTTGAGGTTGTGAGTTTTGTTGCATGATTTCCTTGACGATGAAAAAAGGACCCAAAGTCAAGCTATAGACAGTATCCGGAACATGAAACGAATGTTGATTCGTAGATTCATGGACTCTTTGATGGTCTCGAGGTCTCAATCCCGAGAGTGCCGCACACATACCACCCAAGCCAAGAATCCCTTGTCTTGCTCTCGATAATATTAAGAGCAGCATGTGCAAATCCAGAAGATACAACTCTTCCAGACCAGTCACGACTGTGTTTCGCCTTGATGTTGGTTTTTTTAACCTGCGCATGATTCAATCATGGAAATCGTAATACGTGGTGCATGTCATCGTGGAAATATAGATAATAGTGAAGCGGCCATCCAGTCGTGCTCGGGATCTCGCTCTATTTGCGAATATGGACAGGCAATAGTTCATCAAAAGATCCATCCACTCGGTTTGAAAGAGTAAAGAAAATTGTGCAGGATTGATGATCCTCAAAGAGAGGGATGGGCGGCTCATAATATGGATAATGAAATCTAAAAAAAAAGATATGATGGGCCACAGAGTGCGGCAGTCAGCTAAGCCACCACGTGTCGTTTCAGCCGTCAGCACGTCAAAGGAACCGTCTCCCGGGTATCGGAACATAGATGCAGACATGCTCTTCCGTGATGGCGTTTTTTGTGGGTTAATGCAGGAACAACATGACGATACGAGGGAGTGAATAAGGACAGGACTGCGTAGTGGCGGAGCAGGGCCCGAGGCAGAATGGTATCGGACGACGCGGGGCAATGGCGGGGCAGTTTTTGGCAGCTAGTGACCCGACGGCCACCTCCGACGGCTAGCCATGGCTCAAATGGTACGATAGAAGTCTGCCAATCTGCCTGCTTCGACAAGACTCATAGCACCACAAATTGTTTCCAGGGCTTCCTACCACATTAACATGGCCGCCCAAACTGCACAGGGTCTCACACCAGAGCAGCTCGGTTTCTTCAACGAGAATGGATATCTCTTGATACCAGACGCGCTGTCACAAGACACGGTCAAGGAGCTCCTCAATGATACCAGCAAAATGCTCAATGACTTCTCGCTGGATGACCATCCCATGACCAAGTTCTCGACTGGTGGCGAAGACGGCGCGGACCATGTAGGGGACAGCTACTTCTTGGAATCTGGAGACAAAGTACGCTTCTTCTTTGAAGAAGGTGAGTTCTGCTTCCTGCATTCAATTGACGTCGCATCTATGAAAGACCAACTGGGCTGATATGATGGCAGACGCTTTTGACAAATCCGGCAATCTGACAAAGCCCAAGCATCGTGCAATCAACAAGATTGGCCATTATCTGCACGAGCTTTCCCCTTCATTTCGCAGTATCTCTCTCTCAGATCGCAATGCCGCTATTGCCTCTTCATTGGGGTTCCGTGATCCACGGGTTCTCCAATCTATGGTTATTTGCAAGCAGCCCGAGATAGGCGGTGCTGTGCCACCTCATCAGGACAGCACATTCTTGTATACTGATCCACCTAGCGCCGTGGGTTGGTGGTATGCCCTCGAGGATGCCACAAAAGAAAACGGCTGTTTGAGTTTTGCTGCTGGGAGCCACAAGCGAGCTCCTATTGAAAAGAGGTTTGTGAGGACGGGCAACGGAACTGGCTTCATCGACAATGACGGGGCCAAGTTCCCGAACAGCATAACACCCGAGAGTCAGGGCGAGAAGGGGTATGAAATGGTAGAGAAGGAGGAAAAGTATGACATGGGCGAAGTCAAGGCTGGAACGCTAGTTCTCATCCATGGTAACATTCTCCACAAGAGTGAGAAGAACACGAGCGAAAAGAGCAGGAACATATATACATTCCATGTCATTGAGGGCGACCAGAAGTATGACGAGAGGAACTGGCTGCAACCACCTGCACAGGGTTTCTCGAAATTATATCAGGAGAAGACTGCAGCGGCGAATGGAACGAATGGGTCGGGTTCGAGCAACAGACTTGCGAAGGATTGGTAGACATGTTACAATATATTTATCTACTATGACTTGCTTTGTACACACAAGCCGATACCTCCGAGCACGAATGCCATGCCTATCCAAGTGTCTATGGCATGTTAGCTTCTGAGTCGCACGACTGTTACGCAAGCCGATTCAAAACGTACCTCTACTAATGACCTTTTTCTCTGCCCACCATTCACCTAGCACAGTGAACAGAAAGGCGAGTGAGTTGGTGATGGGCACCGTCAGACTCAATTCCGCCTTGCCTATCAATATGAAGAACCACACGCTTCCAGTGACATTGAGCAACAATGGTATTGCATATGCCGGTCGACTCAGCACTCCAATCACAGCATAAAGTACACCTAACACTTTCTTCTTGAGCCATGAATTGTTCGGATCGGTAAGGGCAGGGCGTTGGGGCGGCGTATAGTTCCTATGATAAGGTTAGCAAGGTCCGATAGGCCACTGGTCCGTAGAGTAAAACATAAAATCTCACGGAAGGAAACCAACGTACATTGCAGCTTTACGCATAAAAGGTGTCGTAAGTCCCCAGCATGCGCCAACCATAAGGAAGCCCAGAATCCAGCGAAAGATGGAAGGTTGAGGCTCGTTGGCGATGGGCGCGTCGGGGTCCATGATGCTGCAGCAAATTCGATCAGAGAATCACTACAGTGGAGGCCAATAACCAACGACACGAATAGCGCAATTGTCGACGCTATTGTGATTCGATACGTCGAGCTGTTGACATGGGATGAAAGCAACGAACTGGTGCTTGGCTGGCGCGCTAACTTGGGCCGTGCGCAGGTACACACATCACATTACCATCCCTTCGCCATCATTTCGTCCCGACAACAATTAACCGTCATTACTCGGCATTCATCCACAAACAATGGAAGACCTATTATCAACTATCTGAGTTTATAGCCTTCTGCGGATTGACTTTCTTCGACCCGTGCCGACGCTGTCTCCAGGACGAAAAAGAACCGCATTCCACAACTCAGCCGCGCTTTGCACTTTTCGGCCACTGATTGACTTTGCAATGATTACCACCGCTCTGGTACCTGACCTGCTCACAAATGTAATTTATTGTGTTGTGCCCGACATCCGCCAACGAAAGTTCTTGGCTAGAACTCAATGATGGCGCAGCAGGACCCTGCAAAGGCAAGCAGTTTCTTTGATCCACCCTCCCGGGATCCGCCCTAGTCAAGCCATGCCCCAGGTTGCCAGCCTATTCCTGGTATCCATCCACCCAGGCAGTTCACCCGCCTAGTACTATTCAGAAATATTGCTATTGTTGGGAACTATTCCCGTACAGCAATACTGTATCCATCGCCATGCACCGGAATGACACGACCATCTTCCGTATCAATCGTACTCCTGCAATGGGCAATATCGTGGATGACTTCATTACTAGGCCTCATTGACGGCCTCACATGGTCCAAATTGCCATACTTTGAAAGAGTTACTGCATTTTTCATTTGACCTCACACGCAGGTTGGATATCCTTCGATACAAAGAAGTCTCTGGTCGACAAAGAAGGAAACTACAAGCTAATTGTTACATGACAGGTGCCCGCGGGCTAGAAAGCCTAGACTAGATGAGTGACTCAGCATCATATATATGGCTACATACACTATGTGCCTACCATTACTATGGAGTATCCAGCCATCCTGGTCACCTCCGAGTATGCCACTGTTGACACGCGGGCAGTGCAGGCGCCTCCAGACTACCTGAAACCAAAGGGTTGAGGCTTAGTTCATCGTCTATCCAACCCACCCTAATTCAACCCAATATGTTCTAGTGTGCTAAGTATAGACGGGATGCGCATTGCATGAGAGTTGGCCGTTGGAAGCCACTGACACATTTGGACATGTGAGATCATATATCTCTCGTGGGGTTTGTTCGAAATTTTTGAGTCTTTGCATTATTAGCGCGTCACAGATCTTGTTCCTGCAGGCCTACGACTACTCCCGCCTTCGTTGATAAGATACAAGTATCACGTCGCGATTGTCTATTTACACTCCGCATTTTCACCCACTTCGTTCCACGACATACCCCGCTTAGCCTCGGATACATCGACCGCATCTGTTACTTCTTGGAAAATCTTTCCCTGCAATCAGTACCATATTGCCTTTTTGACAGCACCATGTCAATGCAGTCCGTTTGCAACAGCGAGCCAGAGGGTGTGGACTTGGACAATTTGTTCGAGGACTATGTCGATACGGGTCTCCTACGCCCCTCCAACAACTCATCATCTGCTCAGTCCAGCCCGGACGAGTTGGCGTGTCTCCTAGGGATCGCTTCGTCGAATGAGAGTGACTTGTTCGGGGCTGAATCTATACTCAATCGGGAAACAAAGGCTGCTTGGCACAAGGCTCTCCAAGAGTGTGACCAGAGCTTTGCCTCGCCATGGTCTGATTATTCTGCCTCTCCCTCATACATTGCTTCTCCTTCTGCCACAGATTATTACAGCGACTCCGAGTCGTTGAGCTTTCCAGGGGTTATCGGGTCAGTCAGAGAACAGTTGCGGTCCATGTCCCAGCCTTGCACACCGCGACCCCACACATCCCGTCGGTCACTCGAGAAGGCTGTAGCCTTTCAGAACCAAATGAAATACCGTGATACCAGGAATTCATCAAAGACGTCAACAAGGCCTTCTTCCAGAACGATGCAGGCCTCTTATTCCCGTCCTTATACCCCGGATCTATGGAACAACCAGACGGCCCCAATACACATCGTTTCGAGAACTGCATCTGAAGAACCCGCTTCGCTCGTTACGCTGTCTGAGTTTGCCGAGGACGAAAACAAAGACTGCCTTCTTGCCCAAGAATACGGTCAGGTGCGCACTCTTGGTCATTCGCTGCTTCCGACGAATGACGAACAGTATTTCTCGCACTACCAATCGACCACTTCAGCCTCTCTAGTCATGGAAGGACCGAACCGAAATCACCACAATGAAAATATGGACCTTAGTTTTAGCCCAGGCAATACGTCTAGTTCAGCAATCTCAGCCTTGTTGACGCCACCGATATCCCTTCCATTAACTAGCAAGCCATGGATTCCTGACACAACACCCACCCTAGACTTTGACTTTTCAGCGCCACCCGACCTGGTAGACACCGGCAACACAGCTAGTTGGTGGGCCGGCAAATCTACTGGCACTGGCTACTCCACAGCAAACACCCTACACTTCACCAGCTCAAACACGGAACTCCACGGCCTAGGCATAACCTGCGAACCCACCCCCTTCAACTACACCGTCCATCCCGCCCACACCCTCCCTTCCTCTTTCCTCCCACTCACCCACCGCACCCCCTCTCCACCACCACGCAAACCCCACCCCCGCCCACGCACCCGCCCCAACACCTCGCGCCCCCGCCGCTCCAGAACCTCTTCCCCAAACTCTATCTCCCGCACCACCGCAGCAAACACGGGCTTCGTCAACTTCACACCCGAAGACAGCAGGAAAATCCTAACTGGCGTGGCGCCGAGCGGAAGCAGCAAGACGAAAGCGCGGCGTGAGAGGGAGGCTGCGGAGCGAAGGCGGAAGTTGAGTCAGGCGGCTATGAAGGCGGTGTTGGAGGCGGGTGGGGATGTCGAGAGGATTAGGGGGTTGGAGGGGGAGATGTTGGTTGTGTAGTTTAGATTTATGGGAGGAGGGTAAATGAAGTTATGAAGTGCAATGACAGACAAATTTGAATTCCTTTTACTTGTTCTCTATAGCAATCCGTGAGGTGCACGCGCGGGATTAGCATGGCCCGTCTTAGATCTGATACAGGATATTCTCCGATCGAAAAAGATACAGAACCCCGTCGTATCGACATTTAATCACCACATCTCTTTAGCAAAAAAAAATCATTTTTTTAGACTACTTACTCCCCACCCCCAAGCTCCAGCCTCGCCAGTACAGCCTCCACCAGCGCCGTACCACCCGGCCCCCGCTCCACAGTCCCCAACGTCTTTTCCTCGGCCTCAAGCTCCACCGCTCCCTCGTAGACCTTGACAATCATGTCTTCGTCGACCTTGGTACCGCACGCGACCATACCGCGGATCAGGGTGCTCACCATCATGATTTCACGGGTAAGACCGGGTTCGATATCATCGTTTTGGCTCGAGTACAGCGTCTCGATTGCGGACTCGTCGAGACTGTTGATGCCGACTTCCTTTGCATCTGCGCTAGTGGTGATGTGCTTGCAAACGAAGACGTAGCCATTGACACCAAGGATGATGTCGATTTCACCCGCAGCCGTGTTCAGCGTGAAAACCTGGCGTCGGCTGCGTACTACGCCGCCTTTCCGGCTGAGGATACCGCCGCCTGCACCGGTGATGCTAGTGAAGACGCCGTTGCGCAGTTTGCCGTATTTGAGAGAGCGGGTGTGGAGTGAGGCGGTGCCGTCTTGGTGTAAGCTCTGGACTTCTGCGACGAGCAAGTCGCCTTCTTGGAAGAATGTCCGGATGTTGAGCTCGTCGACGGTTGTTCGGCGGCGGAGCACGCCACCTGGCAGGTTGATACTGGAGAGAGGGAGGTTGGCTAGCATGGGCGCGGCGATATCTACGTTCCATTTTTTGGTTCCAACGGTCATTATGCGGCCGACGACCAGGTCGCCAATCTCGGGTTGGTAGCGGGCGCGTAGTGGTTGCACAGATAGCAGCTTGTTAGTTTTGTGCAAGGTTCCTGCGACGGTGGATATTATTGTTGTTGATCCGGCTGGCTGTGAAGGAATATATGTGCCATGACCACGCATCCATTGCGGGTCGGAGGTTATATGTTCACCAGGCGTGACGATGGCTTTGGAAGACGAGATCGCGAGATCGTCGTCACCCATTTCAATGTCGGAGCCAGACTCATCGTTTTCATCGCGCCGTGGAGGCGGCAGTGCGCTGAATGGTAAGACAGAGATTGGCATTTGGACAGTGCGCAATGTGAGTATGGTGGTGGTGGTGATGATGTCGTTTGGTTTTAAAGCTTTGGAAATTTTGGCAGGGATTAGTAGCTCCATGGGGACCCTTGCAGTGGAGCTGCTGCACCACCATTTGCCCCATCAAAATCTCCACCCATTACTTTGAAAACGTGATAAGTCCAGCACTGTAGTGACAATCGATTTGCAAGATGCAGAATATCAATTTTCAAGCCGTACAGCTGCAAAAAGACCTACTTTTCACGTCAAAACAGGAAAGGACATACATGGAATTGTTTTCAAGGTAGTATAGTTTGTTTTCCATATTGTTATCCTAAATTATTTTCTGTGGAGTATGTAATTATCCACATACCAGATACAAATGGTATGATATCGTAGTTCTCGCATTTTCCTCAATACACGTAACCGTAGCTTGAAAACTCCACTCGCGATGCCAACATCCCCCACCACACCCATCACCAACCCACAACAAAACTCCACCCTCTATTTTTTCGCCTTGACAGCCCCCTTCCCAGCCTTGGCATCCTTGACCTTCTTCTTCTCCACCTCTGTCTGCGGCTCCTCCATACTCTTGGTGCTAAGCTTGGGCAGAAACATGCTTACACGCTCCTGATAAACCTTGTATTCTGGATACTTGCCCGCACTCAGCAACTCAGTAAGCCAGGTGCTGCCCTGGAACAAGGCCAAGTACAAGGCCGCACCGATAGCAGCCCAATTGTAATACGTCTCCGTCTCTAGGCAGCACCATTGGTACAAGAAGACCCAAAAGGCTTGTTCGGCGGCAAAGTTGGGATGGCGGGACCATGCGAAAAGGCCGGTGGTGTTGAAACCGCGATCGAGCTGTTCGCGCGTGTACTTCTTGTTAGCCGGGACTTTGGCTGTGTTGCGGTATTCGTCCCTAGCGGCGTAGTAATTCCATTGCGCCTGATCGGCGAAGAATTCCAGGACAACAAGGGCGACCATGGATCGGCCAAAGAGTGAGTCGTACGAGGAGACGGTATTGCCAGTGATCCTGTTTGCAAGGAGCAAAATGTACGTTGGTGTTGTGATGACCCAGAGGAGAAACTGTTTGCGGTCAGTAAGGCCTTGGATTGCGTGTCAATTGGACATATATGCGCGCCTACATTCTGATAAAACGAGATGAAAACGACGTTCATGACAAACATGGCTGGACCGCCAATGTAGTCTTTTACAATGTTCCACCTGTAATCCTCACTTCCAATCGTGTATCCGCCCTTGCGCCAGTAGTTGAAGGTCAAGCGAGCGCTCCAGATGATGGAGACAGCCATGACATGGTCTAGCTTTGTCGCTGGCAGGCCATTCAAATGTGCCCATGTTGCATAATGTATGTTGTACAGAGCAGGCAGTAAGCTCCAGATTCGGTCGACCTGCGAGTAGTTGCGGTTGATTTCGGAAAGGACAAGGACAACAGGCGAGAGGAACATGACGGCAAAGGCGAATGACGATATGAGGGGGTTGGTGCTGAGATAGAGCTCCTTGAGCGCCTGGACGTCCGAGATGCGTGCTACGACTTGGTACGGCAGGTCATAGAGTTGTGGTAGGTACGGCTCGACCGTCTTGTGGAAATCGGCACACTCGGGAAGTGTGCTGACCACTGGAATCGCCATGTCGAGGTAGGTGCGCGGATCAGGCATTGTGCCAGGTAGCTTCAATGTCTCGCTCGTAAAATGCAGACAGGGGATGTGTATGTGTATATAGACATGCAGGTATGCAGTAAATATGAAATCTGGAGGCGGGGATGACCTCATGAGTCGCTGCTGTCCACAAGCAAAAATGGCTTAGCGCCCTGCAAGAGCGCCCGTGCAGCTTTGCGACGCGCTCTGCATCGGCCTGACGCGCTTTCACATGACCGTGAATATCTTTGCCTTGTCCATATTGCCCCTCTTAGATGGAAGTATACAAAACTCAAAGGCACAATGCGGGTGTTGTGCGTAGCAGAGAAGCCATCCATCGCAAAGGCAGTCGCAGGCCATCTCGGTGGGCAAGCCCGAGCTGTGAGTTGTGCACCTATCATCAGGCTTCTTGAGGCGGACTGCTGATATTACCTACCAGGAAAGTGTTCGGGGCATCCAATGGGTCAAGAACTACAAGTTTGATTTTCGCTTCAACAACTGGGGCCAGTGTTCTGTCACCTTTACCTGTGTTGCTGGGCACATTGTCGCCCAGGATTTCAACGACAGATATAAAAAATGGCACTCATGCCAGCCCGTCTCTCTATTCGAAGCACCGATTGTGTCTGGAATAGCAGAGGTGCGTGGCAGGACCGTCGTTTCACTAGTCTCCACTGACCAGTAACCAGGACAAGAAAGTGGTGGCGAGCAACATCGAGACCCAGGCGAGGTACGCGTCAATTTTGTTCATATGGACCGATTGTGACCGCGAGGGCGAGCACATTGGGACCGAGATCCGCGACATTGCACTCAAGGCGAATCCAAACTTGCAAGTGTGGCGAGCACGTTTCAGCAATATCGAGCGAGCGTCTGTATTACCATTTCTTCCCGGACACAAGCAGTTGACTAATTTGTTTTAGACATGTCATTCAAGCGTCACAGAATCCAATCCATCTGGATGAGGCACAGGCGCAGGCCGTCTCGGCGCGGATTGAGCTGGATCTGCGACTGGGAGCCGCATTTACGCGAATGCAGACGCTAGCGCTCCAGAACATGATCCCGAGGCAAGGCGAAGAGCGAGGCAAGGTAATCAGCTACGGCTCTTGCCAGTTTCCAACTCTGGGATTCGTGGTAGACCGCTACCTTCGAGTGCGCAACTTTGTTCCAGAACCATTCTGGTCCATCAAGGTGGCACACGAAAAGGATGGCATTGATGTCAAGTTCAACTGGCGGCGGGGCCACTTGTTTGACCGCATGGCCGTCATTCTCATCATGGAACGCTGTCTGCTTTCCAAGACTGCAGCTGTGACAAAGATGGCAAAGAAACCTACCAAGAAATGGAAGCCGCTGCCTCTGACGACTGTTGAGCTACAGAAGAATGGAAGTAGATTTCTTCGCATGACGTCGCAGGATGTTATGAAGGTGGCTGAGGACTTGTATACCAAAGGCTGGATCAGCTACCCGCGCACGGAAACGGACCAGTTTGATCGCGGCATGGACCTGAAAACGCTTGTGGGACGGCAGACTCAAGATGGTCGCTGGGGGCCATTTGCACAGAATCTCATGAATGGCGGTTTTCAGCAGCCTCGCGCGGGGCGCAACAATGACAAGGCCCATCCTCCCATCCATCCAGTCAACTATGTGGCACCTACGCAGCTCAACGACCGGGAGCGTGCAGTGTATGAATTTGTGGTTCGGCGATTCCTGGCTTGCTGCTCCGAGGACGCTGTTGGTGAGGCTACAGATATTGAAATCGAGTACGGAGGGGAAGTGTTCCACGCGCACGGGCTCCGGGTCATTGCAAGAAACTACCTAGACGTGTATCCATATGACAAATGGGAGAGCAGTCAGGTACTGCCACAATATGCAGTAGGAGAGAGGCTTGAGCCGACCGAGGTGAACATGGTTGATGGCCAGACGACGGCGCCAAGCTACCTTACGGAGCCCGAGTTGATCGCACTGATGGACGCCAACGGAATTGGTACGGATGCAACCATGGCCGAGCACATTGCCAAAATCAAGGAACGCGAATATGTGATTGCGCGGCCCAAGGGCGGTGGGGGCGCTGGTACTAGTGATGGAAATGGTGCAACAGCAAGCAGAGGGCGAGGGCGAGGAAGAGGTTCGCGTGGAGGGCGTGGAGGGCGAGGCGGCGCAGCAGCAACAACAGGACAAGCCGGGGGAGGGAACACGAGCGGAGTTCAGGAGTTTATCCCGACGACGCTGGGGGTTGCGCTCATCGAGGGGTACGACAATGTGGGGTTTGAGACGAGCCTGAGCAAACCGTTTCTCCGTAAGCAAGTAAGTAATGGGGTTGCTGATGCACGTGGGGTGGTGAATGGCAGAGGCCCAAGAGGCTCGCTAACAAAATTCGGCAGATGGAGGAGCAGATGAAGGCGATATGCGAAGGTCGCAGTACGCGCAACGACGTTGTTCAACAAAACCTGGAGCAATATCGGGCAGTATTCAATCGCACGGTGCAGCAGATCAACGTGCTGAAATCGGTACGCATGCAATTTTCTTTGTTACTATTGTTGGGAGCCAAGATTGGCATGTGTAGTGGGATCGCTAACGTAATGCGTGTCGCTAGGCCATCACCAAGTATGTCGTCAACGCGAATCACGGGTGAGGGCTTGTCCACGCGGGGCAGGGTGTCGCAGTGCTCACGTCACGCTTCGGGTGATGGGGCATGTTGGTCCATTGCGGGATGGATGTCTTGCAGAGGGAGCCTGTCGGACAAACACGTGTGTCGAGGCTGTTGATGGTGCGGAGTTTTGTCCCCTCAACCTGCACACAGCGAAGTCGGACCTTTTTTGGCGGCGGCGTGACGACCCCCGCGGCACGATAACGCCAATGGGGAGTTGTGGGTGCGAGGCATGGAAGGACGGATGGCGCAGCGTGAGGAGCCGATATGGAGGGTTGCTGATATGGGCCTTGTAATCGGCTGCGAACGGGTCACGACAAAGCCAACATCGGAGCATGGCCACGGCAAGTTGGAGGGAGTCGAGTGACGGTGCAGGGGGCGTGGGATTGCCGGTACGTACTGAAGTTAGTAGTATGTATGTAGGGCATGGAAGTATAAGTCGGTGCTAAGGCGTGTTGCGTAGTGTTGCCCTGCTTCTGCGCACCGAGTCCCTGCTGCCGGCGAGGGGCGAATTCCCATGATTTCCATGACGGCTGCTCGAGGTGAGGGCGTGGTGCGAGGCAGCCAGTCGCGTCCGGCCCAATCAGCGGGCAGACAGGGGGGAAGGGGCGCCGGCCGTCGCTTCCCGCCTGGGGGGGGGGGTTTGTCAGATGCACCTGTGTTCCTTGGTTGCAGCGGCCCTGGGGGAAGGCCAGCGAGAGCGAGGGCCTTATCATGGCGTAGTCCCTGCCTGCCTGCCATGTCGAAGACGCATGACACATCGCACACTCGAATATTCAACCCTTCTGCTGCTCTGCTGCTCTGCTACTTACTCTCCATCCAAGACGCTTGCTCTCTCGCCCTCGTCCCCTGCACGCTCCGGATCCCGCGCTGCTGCTGCCCGAACACGCTATCGGCTTCGTCCCGACACCGACTCGCTGATCCCCATCGCCGATCGCTAAGACGTCTCGGAACGGCCATAGTGATAGAGTCGAGCTCCACAACTGCATCCGGCTACAACAACACACCGCCAGCACCCTTTTTTGTCCCTTTGTCGCTTAGTCGTGTGTCGCGTAAGGCAGTTCTATCACCGTCTTAAATTTCGTGGTTCAAAATTCACCTCCTGTCCAACACCAAACTTGCCCTCGATACCAAGAGAGCCCATATCCGAGACTCCCAGGTATGTCTATTACCAACCACTCCATACGAGCATACATACCCGCCTGCACAGCGCTGCAGGTCCCACAAGTTTCCCTGCTAACGCTCTCTGGCCCTCTAGTCCCCAGGATCCTGCTTCCAGTGCGACTTCCTGAGCAACCCGCGCTTTGACTCACCCAGTCAGCCCCTGCCTCGCAACTACAACCATGGCTGCCGCTGCTCCCAAGCCCGTGTCCAACATTGCCATGGCCTTTGGGCGAAAGGACAGTGGACATGCTACCTCTACCGGCACTCTGCCTACGCCCCCTAGCTCCATTTCTCCCACGCTGCCTGCACACAAGCGACGCCCCATGCCTGTGGCTGGGCGCGTCCATACACCAGATGATGAGTCTATGGAAATAGACCTTCAGGACGCGGTGGAGCACGCGGCGGCCCAGGACCAGCCCTCTGCTCTTTCCAAGGAGGCGCTGGCCGGCCTCGACGCGACGCGCCAAATCACTGCGCTGATGCTGGCCAAGCACCACCTGCCAGACATCCTCGTCGGCCACGGCGCAATGCCCATCCGCGAGATGATGGCCCATTTGACTCATGTTGTGCCTGGCTTCTCGGGACTCCCCCCAGCAAAGGCTCGCAGACTAGTCGTAGCCGCGCTGGAACACCGCGCGGGCGGCGGCCTTCACGGCGAGGTCAAGTTTGAAAAGGTCGGCTGGGGGCGCTGGAGTGTGGCAGGCTCTGGCGCAAAGGCTCAGGGAGTACCCATCGGTGGCAAGCGCTCTGGAAATGGGCAGACGCCGCCGGACAGCGTCGATAGTACAGGAGGTAGTCTGCAAATACCGAGGCTGCGACAGGAACGTGACGTTTACGCCGGTAGCTGGAATGCGGGCTCGTGGTCACCCCACCGTCAGGATGACGACGAAGAAATGGCGGACCAGATGTCGCTGGACGACTCTGACGACAGTTCCGACTCTGATTCGGCCTCGGACATGGAGCTGGAAGAAGAGTTGAATGACGACACGGATCAGGAAGACTGGGCGACCATGGGGCCTGAAGCTCTTCGCGAGACCCGCTGCGGTCCGCGCCGAGAACACCGTGACTACAACTATCTAAGCCGAACTCAGACGAGCAACCCGCGCTACCGGAATTCATCCGCCCAGGCCCACTCTCTGCCTCAGCACTCGCTCGCGCGCACTCAGACGCCCACCACTCTGCATCACCAATCTTTTCTTGCTCCTCACCATGCATCCCGCGGTAATCACGCCGTGAACGCGGGCTCTTCCCTCACGACTGTTTTCAATGCATCCTCTATGACTAGTCCTCTTACCGGTTCCGGCGCTGAGCGTGACGCCATCGAAGCCCTCATCGCAATGGGTTCTATGTAGAATTCCTTCCGCTCACCCACATACCCCTCATCGACTCATGACGCCTTTGCGAGACTTACATTCAACATTCAACATTTTTTTATCAAAGCTGCACGCAGGCGCAGACCAGCACATATATATCCTCATCAACATCATCAGCACCACTTGCTATATATACATACGTAAAGATCAGATACGAAATGGAGATGGCTTTTTTTGGGAACGAAAGGGGAGGAGTGAGGAGTAGTAGGAGAAAGGGAAGCTATTACTGGGCTTTAGATTACCTTGGCATATAACTCGAACTTAGTTCTCGCCTTTGCATTTGGGTTCCGGGGAACAATGCAACGGGGAACGATCCGTCAAGTGCTGATGTGGATCATGTGGACAAGAACCTACTTATTTTTTTTGTTTAGGTTCATGTTCTGGTTGTTTCTTGTTTCCTCAGTGGGGGATTGGTGCGGGCTACTTTTTGTGGGAACAAAAAGGGTACCAAACGCATTGACTTTTTTGGGGACGTTTTTGTTTACTTTGTATATACCGGGGCGAGGCCTGGCCTGAGCCCTTACTTACTCTACTCCTTTTTTATTACTATCACACGCAGAAACCTTTTAGATGAGATATAATGACGCTGGTCAACGACGGATGGATGGATGGGGTGGCTTTTTTTGGGATATTAATTTGATGAATATATAATACGTAATCTGATGACTCTGCCTGCTTCTTCTATCATCTACAATCTATCGCTCATGCTCGCATACAAAGACAAGGAGACGTTTACTCCGCCCCACTATCAAACAGCACTTTCCCCCTTCCCATTGTCCCGACCTCGACAGCCCCCAAAATACCCGTAACAACTTCTTTACCGAAAAACGCAACACCAAGTTCTTGACTTGTAAACCAACTCGCACGGTCCAGATTACCACTGCCTAGTACCACAACCTCATCATCCACACTCACCATTTTAAAATGCGACTGCTGCGCCTCACCCCCTTCCTCGCCGCGGGGTTTTAAACCGCCGAGCGGCGTCCAATACGACACAACCAGGCGTCCAGGGTGCGGACTCGCAATGGCGGACTCCTCATCGATCAAGGCCTGGCGCTCAGACGATAGCGTGCGGTAGCGGCGTATGAGTCTGCGCACACAGCGCGCCGTGGTGGTACCCGCTGTGACGAGTTGCTCGAGGATCATGAGGCGCTTGGATGTTAGGATTCTAACGTCGATGCCGCGGGCGAGGGCGCGGAGAAGGGCGGAGAGGACGGGTGGGGAGGTGAGGTTTGGGGTTTGAATCGAGATTTTGCGCTCGGCTTTTGAGAAGAGGGTGAGGAGGAAGAGGTTCAGCGGGGTTTGCGGGGCTTGGAGGATCTTTGAGGAGGTGAAGGGGGAGAAGGTTGGGTTGCGGTGGTGGGGGCTTGGGAGGAAGATTGTGGGGGTTTCGGGGGTGGAGAGCGTGATGTGGGATTTTAGAGATGGGGTTTGTTTGGGTTGGGGGAGGGGGGAGTCTGGTGAGTTGGTGGAGGAGGAGGAAGGAGGAAGGGGGGAAGGGTCGTCTGTTTTGCGTTCCCAGAATGAGCGGTAGAATTTTAGGAATTGCGTGACGATGGGGCCGGTGAGGGTGATGGCGCCTTCGAACCATTCTTCCCAGCTTATGTTGCAGCTGGGCAGGATTGCAGTTTTGCGGTCCACAATGATGAATTTGGGGTGCATGACGCTGAAGGGGAGAAGGAAGACGGATTTGATTTCCAGGTTTAGGCCGTGGAGTTCTGATGGGTCCGGGAGGCCGAGCTTCTTTACCCATGTTGACGGTGGGTACGTTTGGCCTGTGACGCCTTGGTGGTGGAAGAGCTTCTGAAATATGGAGCTAGAGGAAAAACAAAGTCGGACTCTGATCTTATGCGTTCCTCGTATAACGGCTTTGGTTGATAGTTTTCTTAGCACGCTGTTGAGAGTGTCCAAGCTGGATGATCGGGACCAGAAACAGGTTACGAGAATGAGCTCGTGGTCGGCTGCCTCGAGAAGGGGAGCAAGAGATTCATATATGGATGATCCGGTCCCGGTCATGAATGTGTCGATATTCGAGGTAGTGATGAGCGACCGGGGATACCGGGCATAGTAACTTGGATCGTCACTTGCATTGCTGGGCGCAGCAGCATCGAGTGCCGATATAAAGGGTTCATTGAAGTGAGATGCAGAGGGAGACGAGGCCGCTGGTGCCATGTCTATGCGTGAGGATAGAGGTTCTGGGAATGAGTCTGAATTTCTGATGCCATGACGTTGAGCTCGTCGCGACCGCCAATGCATGTCTGACGCGTCGGGTCTAGGCTGAATACGGGTACTGTCGCTGGTCAGTGCGTGCAACAGTTCATCAGTCAATGCAACACTTCACCAAAATGTGGGCCCATCAAAAAATGAAGCTGTATTACTGATTTAATATCTTGACTAATACAGGGATTGTTTAGGGTAGCTAGATACGGAATATTTCGGAAAGAAGGTGCAGTAGTCAACCTTGGAGCAAATTCAACCACGCTTCTTCGTCACTAAAGCTTCAAACTCGTTGTATGCTGCGAAAATCCCATCAATCGAGATGAATTAGTTCCGATTTTGAAGTTTGCTTCTGTAATTGGATATCCCTTTGGTCGTGAAGCTATAGATTACTACCAAAACGTTGTTATCGTGAGATCTCTTGGTGGAGTACACTCATGGCCGTACATTGGATTTCTATCTACTTCTATTCATTGGGCAACTGTACGTTACACCCGCATTTGAATATTTTGGTGGATATCTTGCCGTCCTGAAGCTTCAACAACTGGGCAACCTAGCTAGTACCAGAGGGCTTTCATTCTGCAAAAATCGGCACATAGTTTCTTACTATAAATCCAGAAGGTGGTAGTCCGCGCCCTAATTCCTTTTCTGCACTGATGTTTCACTAATTTAGTTTCTTGTGGTGGAGTAAGTAATTGCCTTTGTTTCTGCGGTAGGTTGTAGGTGCAGTATGTGGGACATATGTGACGGATTGTTTGGGGGGGGGGGCAATCTGGGGAGAGAGGCGTCGGGGTAGTGGTTGATGGGCTTTTCTTTAGTGTGGACGTGAGGCAAATGGGGGAGAAATTTGCGACACGCATTTTTTAGATATGGGGGAGACACGTAATGGGTTGGGGTTGGGGGACATTAATGCAGTGCTATACGGTGGGGTTGTTAATAGTATAGTTGGGTTTGGAGGAGGGGATAATGGGCTTGAGCGTGGTGAACATCTGTAATGATGTGATAAGTTGGGGTTTGCGTTAGAGCGTGGATTCAAGATGTTGAAGGAGTTTTGTGGAATATTTAATAACGTGTACATTTTGGGTTTATTTGATCAATCAGCTTGATAGAAATTGTATAACAGTGTTGGAGAAATATAGTAGTATCAACTAAAGCATGGAAATGTTTCTGACATACTAGTGCTTGTTTTGATTTCCAAGAAAATGACGTCGCTTAGGACAAAATCATGATGGGACACGATCAGCAAGACGCCTACGCGAGTCTCATTGAAAGCGTCTTCCTCAAAGGCCATCGAGGCAAAAAGCCCTTGGTCTAGGTCAATGCTATGAGCTATTTTCTTTGCTCGTATCGACTTCGCGTATGGTGCACCAGCCCAGTCGAGACTAAGACTTGGGATGTGATTGCAGCTTCCATCGGCAGTTGGGTACTAGCACATGCCGGGTAGTAGTGAGTGGCGAGTGGTCTCGTCTCAATCTGTTCGACGCTATTCTCAAGGAAATTGTATTTGGAGGTATCGCTTGCATAGCTCTCGCCAGCCTCATCCCATTTCGGCGCTGTGGCTTTAACACAGTACGAACGAAGCTGGACTAGTCAGCACAGCCGCATCCATTCTTACTGTGTCAACGACCAAGTTGGGATAGGGGTAACGAACAAGGGGGGTAATCTACGCATCTCGTACGCAAGCCTCCAAAGGTCCAGGCACCGCTAATCCTCAGCTATGGTCAGCTATTCTCAGCTACAATGGCATTTCAATCGTGTGGGGACATGTTCGCGCGGCCGAGGCTGGAGGGCTAGGCGGCATGTAAGAAAGAGGCTTTATTGGTGGCGCTACCCTTAACACTGGTCGCCTTTACCGAGGCGAGCGGAGCAATGTCCTTCGCCCTCTCCGACCCAGGCTCCAAGGTCGGTGCAAAATCTAGATGTAAGGCAGGTGTGGATTGTCTCAACACCATCTTCTCGTACTCACATGTGGGTGTCGTCGCCTACAGGACATGCAGGGGTGTGGACTGGGGTGTACTCAGGGGTCGCTAACTTGACTAGGACCCTTGTATGTTCTATCGCATGTGAAAACATGCAATACGTATAGTTTTGCATGGGTTTATACCTAGAATTCATCTTGAAATACAAAAGAGGTAAGCTTATTACATTCTACCACCGGCCAATCGTTACACCTCAACTGACTATGGTTGTTGTTGTTTGTGGATTGAACTGGCAGGCAGTTCTAAGCCCCATCGCTAAGGCTGAGCCCAGATCAGATGCCCCTCTTCACCCAACTGCTTTTGTTTGTGACACCCCAGATCTCGCTATACCTTGACCAAAACCGCCAATTATGGCAATGAAGGCGTCGGGCTGGTGCCATATCCGAGGGATCCCGCCGCTAGTCGGCATCTCCGCCAGCCACAACTCGGCTCTCCTCTCCAAGGAGATTTCAGTATGCAAAAGGAACAAGGCTTTGACTTTGCACGCATTAACGGTCTCGTCTGTTACTCCTCTGATTGGATATTCTCAGTGCGTGATTGGCTTGTTACCGCCTTATCACACCGAGCCTACCCTTAAAATCAGCTGTGAATGTGCAGGCGCACAGCTGTCTAGAAAAAGCATTATCGAATGCACGGACGTAATTAGTGCAGCCGTTTCCTTTCAAACCATTCCTGACTCGCCATTCTTTCCATCTTCCTGCAACATGGTGTCGTGTGAGTAGAATTCTAGATTTCAATGCCATCCATACCTCGCCACGTATATAACACTATGCATCCACTCCT